AGAGGGAAGAATATGGAATGGTAATGAGATAAATGAATGTACAGTTTTCATCCACCCTCCCCGTCTCCAGTTTGGACTCTCTTATTTTGAAGTTGGATGCTTGTACAATTTAAGGAATCTACAGAAAGCTATATTTAACACTATTGGTGCTGTGATAATAACTATATGGAAGACCAAGCAGTGATGCTCCACGATGAGTACTGCTTTGTCTATGGGAAGTAAGTGTGCTCTGACTTGAACTATTTAAACTATGATGAGAGATGTTTGCTGATTACAGCTCTTTCTGCCTTAACAACTTAAATAGTGTGACAGAAATGGTTTGTAGTTTCTCCTGTCATTCTTTCTGGGGAAGTATGAATAAATGTCAGCAAATAAGAAAATGTGCTCAACTGTATGTAAGATGTCTGTAAACATACAATGAAAATATTTTTCTGTATTTTCTCATGGAAACAATTTTACACTTGAAATTAACTCTTAATTAATAGATATCTGAGATGCTGTTATTTTACTGCAGTATTCTTTCATGCATTTTTACTGGTGCCCTAGTTTTATGAAGCTCAGGAGTAGTCACATGAATATATTCTTGGATTTTCATCCAATATTGTTGCTAAGGAAACATCATCTTTAATACTGTATCCTTGTCTGCAGCTTGTCTGTATTAATCAATGCTTGTTAATGCTCAGCACAAACCAAGTAGAGATGGAAAAACATTAATTTCTTCTGTATTACAGTGGTTTACTATAGACTATTCTTCATGGTCCCCTGCCCCTACAAACCTCACACAAATTGGAGGGTCACATCCATGTTTCTGGTCTCATCCCAAACAGGCACAGTATGGACAGGTGTTTTGTTTCCATAGGCTGCCATTAATATTTAATGTCATTAATCTAACATAAGTATTGTACACTGCATGCATCTGGTCAAAATGGTGAGAGTGCTGACGTACTGCTCTAAGAGGGAGAAAAAGCCTTTTCTGTATGAAGTATAAAACAGGAGCTTGAATGCACTAAATTGAGAAACATACCCCTTTTCAGTATGTCAGTCAGAAATGTCAGTGAAAATCTCAGTTTGCTGAGAGGTCCAGCCATTTGGTTTTGTTGCAGTAGTGACAGGCAGACTTTTCAAATTTTCTGCTTCTGAACTCTTCTGAGAAGTATCAAAATTTATAGTTAATTTGACTTAGTGGTTTTTAGCCTAATTCCTGGTTTCTTTCATGCTCACATTTGCCTTTTGGACATTTTCCTTCATATCTGCCTCTTCAGAGATGCTACGTTAGATCTCACATCTGTTCTTGAAAAGCCCAGGTCAGAAAGGCCAGAGGCAAGCAAGTGGCCTGAAGAATTTCTCTCGTTAGGAATATTTGCTTCCTTTTTTGGGCAATCAGCAATATCTCATTCCTCAGCTTAGTCATCCCTCAAGGAAGAGGAAAGAAATCGGGCACAAGTTTACAGTCTGGCTGTGTGGGCTGGATGCAAGCACAGTTTCAACAGCCTAACCTGGATGGGTCATCCCAGCTTTCCTTTCCAGGGTTGTAAAAGGAACACAAGTTCTCTCCTTCATTTCACTAAGCAATCTCCTTCTCCCTAGGAGAAGAAATATCTGTGTGAGGAGGCCAGTGTATTTAAGTCCACACCAACAGGTTTGGAAGGTGTCTTAAGAGCTGAGCCACCCTCATGCTTTTCTGCGTGTCCTCAGGGAATGACTGGATGGATAGTAAGCTACTTCTTCAAATACTATCCCAATAGTTGCACACTATTAACACCTTTGTAGAGGTGTCTTGGAGATCTTACCCAAGGTATCCAGAGACACCTTGCACTCATTTTTTGATCCTGTTAACTGCGTTATGCCCATGAGTCAACATAGTCCCTGTATGGCAAATGTTTATGGTTATTCATATCTGGGATTCTACTTACTCTACGAGTTACTCTACTCTAGTTACTCTAACTCGTTCTAGTTATATTTTTCTTTCTGCCTTAAGAAGCTATTTACAACGTGTTGCTCAGGACTGTTTTAATAATGAAAGTTTCCGAATATATGAGCTGTATCAATGCTTTTACTTGAGAGGTTACACCAAGATACCGTATTTTTTTATTAATGGCTATGCCTGTAAGGATCGCTTAATCACTTGTCGTCCAGTGAAAGAACTGAAAAGGGTCTCCATATTGCTTAAAACTGGAATCTAATCCTTGAGTTTTGATCAGAACTCAACATTTCAGATGTGGAATTCTGCGTGGTTGTAATAATAGCCAAGACTTGAATATTAAGGAAAACCATCTTCTTATCATTCACAGTTGATATGAAAATCATGTAAATAAGTGTGGCAGTTCCTTGTCTTAGTGTTGGTAATAGAAATAGCAGTCCCTTGACTCTTTCCATGCTGCACTCTTCCATCTGCCCTGGCAGCCAGTGAGATGAAATACTCTCAAGTAGTACTTTAGCCTGTCCTTTGCTCCTTGGTCTGGAAGAAGTGGTGAGGGAAGGTGTTTTCAGGTATTTCTTCTGCCACTGCCAACAGCTCTGCTGTTCAGTTTCCCTGAAATCTCTGGGCATCTATTGGCATTTAAAAAAAAAGGCTTGCTGTTTTTATTGTATATTTCTTTTCTTCTACTTTCAATGACTGTCTAAAGAGGTTTTTAGCAATTTACTATAGAGACCGAAGTGGTAGAAGAAGGACATTGGTAATTCTACAATGCTGTCTGTTCTGATTAAAATATAGGCTTTGGGTCTTACTTTGTGCTGGATTATTTTATATCAAGGCAGAATTTGAGCTCAGTTTAAGTCAGTATTTTATATCATGACATAGAAAGAACTAATACTATGATATTGCTATTAGCTATTATTTGCCATTTATTAACTATAAAGAGGGGAAACTTTTCTATAGTCGCCTGATAGGCTTCGAGTGGAGTTAGTTGGCACACTTGGTTTAGAGCTATGTGTTCCTTGGTAGCGGACAGTGGTCCTTGGTGGTGCCTTTACCATTGTCCCTTCCACCTCTGATGCCTTGTGCTGCTGTGTTTCCTGGGTTTTATTTTTTCTCTTAGTTTCAGCCTCTGTCTTTTTTTTTTTTTTTTTTCTCTTGCTTATTCTTTTCACGTCCCTTCTCTTCTTGAATTTCTTTATTGTCCATGTGGTCTTATCTCTCCCTCTCTGTGGTGTCATTGTAAAAATTAGATCATTTTCAATGCAGCATTTTCTCCCCCTCCAGATGCTTTTCCTTTTTTCCCCACGCGTATGCCATCTGCCTGTGTGTGCTCTGGGAGATGTGCAGGTGTTGGGCAGGATTAGGTGGCAGAACTGAAGTGAAATGTGATAAGTTTTGCCTGCCAGCTCCTTTCTGCATTGTTTGGTTGTTTGTTTTTTTTTAATTATGAAGTTGCTCTGTCAAATAAAGAACGAAGGGAAGAACCAGAGAAATGACTGTGGAATTGAAGAGAAGCAGAGTGGGGAAATGTTGAGTGCTTGATCCCAGTACTGAGGATAACACGGAGCAGCAAAGAAAGAGGAATTCTCATAGAAAAGTTGAGAGGTCCAAAGGCTTTTTACCTTTTGAAGAAATTGTGGAGTTAAAGGTTCCTCTCAGAATTGTGCTTCTGAAATTTGTCAAGCAATATCAACCAACTAAAATGCTATATTAAAATAGAAAATAATATGAAAGTGTATTGCATAGTGTAGCGTGACTTCATGAAATGTTAAGCAACAACTGGTTTTCTTGTGCTCTTTTTCTCTATAGAAAACGTATACATCTTTTGAGTTAGGTCTTTTTTTTTCTCCTGGTCATTCCTAATTAGCTTTTTCCTGGCTATTTCTTCTGTGTTTATAGACTTCCCTTCTCTCCAACCTTTGAACTTCATTTATCAAAATCTGTGTTTAGATGTAAGATCATCTTACCATTGCAAAATGCTCAACCTTTCTCCTTTCCAAGTGATGTTAAGAAGATAAATACATTTGGTACATGTTGTTAGTGGTTCTATCCACCAGTCTCTCAAGGTCATTACTCTATCATTAGTTAGGGGAGGAAATTTTTTAGCCAGATTAAATAGCCAACTTTTCAAATTTTGTCTTCCTGACTCACATGTGATATTTCTCACATCATTTTGGACTGCTGTACCTAGTCTGTGTAGAATGTCATCAAGTAGCTTGTTTGGGTTTCTGTTAGAATATGTTCTTACTTTTCTGTATTATGAAGTATGAATTCTCAGATCTTGTGTCCTCTCTTGCAGCTTGTTTGCATAAACAAACCAAAAAACTATCTTGCTGACTGCATGCTTTCTAGTTTGGGTCCAGATTGGACAAAACAGCTGTGGACTTTGAAAGACTCTGAACTATGAACTACAAGAAAATTCTCTGCAGTGTTAGAAATGTGAAAAGTTACTAATTATTCTAAATCAAGTGTTCTCAATTGTTCTATATAAAAAATTAAGACATTTAAGATAATTTTCATCTCACTTCAGTTTAGTCATCTGAAGTCTAGTCATAACATCTAGTCTAAGCTAGTCATGCTTTGGCTTGCTGTACGATCAGGTGGGAGATAGCTTCAGAAGGCTATTCACTCCTCTCATAAAAAGGATGTCAAATAGTATATGGAATGAAGCACCTCTGGAGATGCGTATCTCTCTCCATTGATGATAGATGTGAAGATGGCTAAACACTAACTTTGATTGTCCATCCTTTGTGTTTTTTAAAAGTTAGGAAATAGGAAGAAAGAGAAAATAGGTATTTTTTTTTTTTTTAGTGCATGAAAATCTGACCTACTTTAATAAACTGTATTTTGAAACAGATGATTTATGACTATTCTGTAATTAGTTTATTGGAGAAGGCTAGATGGTTCAAATTCAAGAAAGGTGGTGGCATGTACTGTGTTAAGGGAATTTTACAGCTATTGTGGAATCTGTGATACAAAATGACTTGTTAATATCTATCAATGGGAAAATATTACTGCAACCAAGTAGGCAAATGTAAAAGTTTCATACAGAAATATTTTATATCTTTTTCTTTGGCAGCCTTGCTTTGCATCCTGAACGTGTGTTGGTGGCAACAGGTCAAGTTGGAAAAGAACCGTACATCTGCGTGTGGGACTCATACACTGTGCAAACTGTGTCTGTTCTGAAAGATGTTCACACACATGGTATAGCTTGCTTGGCTTTTGATTTAGATGGTCAGGTATGTAATATTAATATTCTTTTTTCAAACACAAATTTTTTTATCCGTCAGAAATTTTGTTATCTAGCTTTTTCTTTTTTTAAGGAAGGGTGTTGACTCAGGTTTTATCTGCTTATTCTCAAGTTGAGGAAAAAAAAGTTGGCGTTAGTAGTAAGTGACAAATACTCATATTCAGCAAGAAAAGTATAACTACAAAAGAGTTTTGGATGAAGATGAGGTGGTAGGGAAGGTACTTGTGGTCTGTGGGTCACAGCTGAGGGTTACACCAAATAGTTGGAGATAGTGGACCTCCCCTCTGCAGGGAGGTGAACCTCCCCTTTGTGCACAAAGTGATGGCAATCCCATTGTGTTACTCTTCTTGGACTCCCAATGTCTTCAGGCATTATCCCCTTCTCTGTCATGCATCTTGCCTGCATTGGTGCTTTCCACATTTTGATTGTTCAGACTCATGTATCCTGGATCTAAGAATCAAGAAAAAGGTTTTATTGGGTTATAATTTTGTTACTTTAAAACTTTGAGCAGTGAATTGGTAGCTTTACTCCACTGGGGAGGTGGCGTGCTGGTTCGTAACAAGATTTTTCTAGTTCTTAGGAGAATTGAGAACATCATTTAATCTTCATGTTTGAGAAGACACTGTATTGGCTTTTGTCTGGAAAGGCATCCACCCAAAGTTTTTGTGATGGGTGTGCAGTAATTGTAAAACTAGTCTGCATTTACACCTCTCTTTCTGCAGTAGGACTGGAATTGAACTGCTTGGAAGTGTAGCTGGAACTGAAACTGACGTTCCTTCTGAGAATGTGTTCAAAGGTAGAATAGAAGGGTTGGACTTTGCAGTATCTGAAAAAATGAATTTGGCATTAATAAAGAGAGAGCATGGATAGCAACTGTGTTTAACTTTTTTTCTTTTTCTTCTCATTGTCTTGGAGCTTTTCAGACAGAAAAGAAAGGATGTTATTTGGAATGTGTTTCTATCTTTGGGAAAAAGTTTACTTAAACTTGGGGTTTGCTTTTGTGTTTATAAACTCACTTTGATAATCTACATAGAAATTGAAACTAAATTTGTCTTTAATGTATGTAGATATTAACTGCTGAACAGTGAAAAAACTTTGTCTTAAAGATTTGCAAAGTGTTTATTTATCAAAATTAAAATGTCACAATTCATGCATAAACTGAGCGAAAAGACTTAACTCTCTTTAAAAACAAAGCCTAAAATCAGTCAGTTTCTTTTTACCCAATCTTTAATACTGTTAGTCTCTCAACAGAAAGACTGTAGAAAAAATAACATTTTGACTGGTTAACAGATACAGTATGCATGGACTATTGATGGTCAATGAAATCCATGCAAAGTATCTTCACAGTTGAATACAAGACAGGCTACAGAGCATAGGAAGATCTCAAACTTTTATTTTTCTATATTTTCTTGGAACAATCTTTTTGTCCTTCTTGCTTTTCTAGTTTAACTGTCTTCAGACTCTTTCTGAATATTAGATCATAGAATAGCAGGTTGGAAGGGACCTCAAGGATCATCTGGTCCGACCCTTCTTGGCAAAAGTAGGGGCTAGAGAAGGTGGCCCAGCACCCTGTCCAGACGAATCTTAAAGGTGTCCAATGGTGGGGAAAGGCTTCGTGAAATTTGTACGTTCAGGGTTTTGTTGGATTCTGGTTTGAGAAAGGATTCAGAAAGGAATAGTTATTCTTGCATGTTTTCAAGAATCAAGAAAAAGACTCTAAAAGTTTTTAACTGTTTTGACTGTGTTTCCAAGAAGGACGAAAATATTTTTTCTTTGTATCTCCTCAACTGGTAAAATAGACACTTAAATTCTGCAAGTTACATGTAATTAAACACATGTAGATTCATTAATTTCAGTGACATTATTTTTTTTTTGCAAATTTCTCCTGACTGCTGCTTGCCATATGTGCTATATATAATTATATATATAAAACTTTATAAATCAGAAATAAGTTGTTATCCAAGAAGATCTTGCTTCTTTATGATCATGATGTCATAACTGAAGAGATGCATCTGTGGAAACTTTGCCAAAAGATGTTGTATCTTTAGTTTTCTTCTATATTGAAACGTAGCTATTGCTTCTAACTCAAATGCGTTATTAATTGTTATCATTCAGAATGATGTCTCTAACTTTCATTTATATATTGAGTTATTTTCATTTATTTTTTTAATTCTGACATTTTTAGCGTTTGGTCTCAGTTGGTTTGGATTCGAAAAACACCGTTTGTGTGTGGGACTGGAGAAAAGGAAAATTGTTATCAATGGCTCCTGGTCATACAGACAGAGTAAGTATAACTAAAGAATTTGAGTATCAATTTGATTTTAGTTTCTTAAACCATGCCTGTATATATATACTAGACCTATGTCTGAACAAAAAACATTTTATGTTTTAGAAACTGAATTTGCATAAAGCTTGGATATGTATTAAGATCTGTGAAGATATTTAAGATATGTACATTTACTTCCAAAATAAAATATGTAATTCACTGTTTATGTATGGTTTGTTGAGACTGTAAACATGTAGGGGAAGTGCAAAATTAATGCAATTCGTAGACCCTAATCCCTATATGGGAAATCAAAATGCAAATAATCTGTTAGATTTTTCTCTGTTAATGAACCTTTATGTTTTTTTATTATGTGTTGTAATTACTCTGGGGAAAAAAACCCGAACAGAACTAATGAGCTATACATTGCAATTTCATTGTTGAATGAGGGGATAAAAAATTAATTCCAATAGTTCCATTTCAGGCATTTCAGACTGCCTGTTAGTTTACTACAAGTATTTACTGGTTTAACGTGCAACAAAGGCCATCTCTGCTGATATCCCTTTTTTTCTTTTTTTAAATGCAGATATTTGATATTTCTTGGGATTTGTATCAGCCAAACAAGCTTGTCAGCTGTGGTGTAAAACACATCAAGGTAAGGAAATAAAAAGTTAATTCATAAGATATTTAAGCTGTAGTAGTTTGTAAAATATATAAAAATGGAATCTAAAAAGAATATGTAATAATAATTTGAAAGGTCATTTGTAAGAATAATGTTACTTCTTACGAACTGCAGTCATGGATCACACCTGACTACACTAGTCATTTTACAAGATATATGTAGTGGAAAAGAGACCATTTCTCCTCGAAAGAGTTCATGCCCTGACAGAAGAAATGTGGAAGGAATGAAACAGTTGTCAGTGTAATGATTGTAATACAATTTAAAATTTAGGTTGTCTAAAACATGCTGTCTGAAATCCCAAGTAGCATAAGACAGGATACACGTGTTTAAGGTGAGTCCAGGTACTCAAGTTTCTGATTCTTGAACAACTAATGAATTTTTACAATGCAAAGGTGAAATGAATTGAAAAACCATTTCTCAACAGCTGGAGAAAGTATGGGGATACAGCAGAAAATTTTTCTTTTCCTTTTAATTATTTTTTTCCCTGCTGTTACTCCTATCTTTGTCATTTTTAACACTCTGCACCTGTTAAAGGCTTCATAACAGGGACAGTTCATGTGTTTTCCATGCAGGGTGTTTCTCTGAAACATTGCTTTGTTTGGTCCACGTCCCAATGGCCATGCAGAAACAGCTTCTCTGCCAGGTTTAACTGTCAGCACTGTTACTGATGCTTTACTGCCATCAGTTATGTTTCCTAAAGTCACTGCCTTCTCCTGGGCGCTGCCTTCTGTGTTACCACATCACAGCAGTAGATGGCAGCTTGAAAGTTCTTTTTACTCCTATGTGTAGGATCCTATGGTGGGAAAAAATGTGTTGCTTTTTATACAATGAACTTTTAGATTAATATGAATTAATGGTTTATTGGAAAAAATACTCAATATGTTTGCTAGATTGCATATGTCTTTGATTTGGCAGTGTTTAGTATATCAATAACAGATTGCATGAGCTTGATTAGTAATGATCTTTTTTTCTACTTCAAGATTTGAAAGGACCATTTTGCCACTAGTGAGCTAATATTTCCCAGCAGTGATTTAGTATATTTAAGGTGGCTTTATGATGTCAAAACGTATCTATTTAGATAAGAAAAAGTTTATTTGAGCAACTTTTAAGGCTCTGTAAAGCATTTTTTAAATAGCAATAGTATTTTAAAAATAATTGGTATTTCCTTTGAGAAAACACTAACTAAAAGCCTGAATCTGAGAGATTTATTGGCATTTGGATCAGGCAAGAAATTTTTGTTCGTTTGTATTCTTCTTAAATCACCCCTTCTTTCAGATATCAGTAATTACTTTTAAATTTGTAATACTATTGTAATTTTTCCCCTCACATGATACCTTATGCAAAGTGTAATACTATTTAATCAAGTTATGTTGATAATTCCAAGTGAGCTAATATTGAGGAATTACTTTTCTTAGATATGTTACCTACTTTCATATTGGAGCTGGGTGTTTGATTGATGCAGTGATTGTGCAATTACTTCTCAAGCATCAGCATAATTGATGACCTGTGTACTTTGGTTAAAGAAATACTGGTTGAGATACAGGGATTTGTCTATTCAGTATATGGTTATTTCTTAATTACAGTATTGCTGGTACAAAAATCTGTTCATTGTAACTGCTTATGTTATCTTGTATTAATTGAAGTCTCAGCTCAGAATTTTGAATAGATTACTGGTAACAGAGAGACTTGCTGTGAAATACAAATAAAGTACAAATGCAGCATTTACAAAGTGGAGGTTTTACATCAAAGAAAGATCAGATAATTCTGTTATGAACCGCTTTTCAAAACTGATGGAAAAACAACTGACTCACAAATTACAATTTAAAAGAATTTCAGTTTGATTTAATACCCATACCCTGAAACTCTTTCCCAACTAGTCTGCTGTGCTGATTTTATGGAAAGATAAAGTTGGTTAATAATATAAAAAGTTGTTAACCAACTGGAGAAAGCATGGAAAAGGGTATAAAGGGTGATATTTTTTGGAAGTAAGGTACTTCTCTTTCAGATGTATATACTAAATTATAGGGTATTAGTGAAGTATCCATCTTTATAAATCACTTTATGTTGCAGTTCTGGAGCTTGTGTGGCAATTCATTGACACCAAAACGTGGTGTTTTTGGCAAAACTGGTGATCTCCAAACTATATTGTGCCTAGCCTGTGCAAGGGATGAAGTGACGTATTCTGGTGCCCTGAATGGAGATATATATGTATGGAAAGGAATCAACCTTGTACGGACAATACAGGGAGCACATGCTGTAAGTATATGTCTTTGAAGTGATATAAAATGTTAAATAGATTTCTGGAGAGCTGGAAAGGGCAGTGCAAGATCGTCTGGTCTGTGTTCCTAAATAATTTTAGTGATAGAGACTCAGTATCTCTAATTTGAATATTATTTTTTCTCTCCTTTCTGTTGCTTAATATCTCTGTTATGGTAGAAAGTGAACACTAGATTGAGAAATACATTTAGGTGTCTATTTGTCTAATGTCTCCCATTATCATTGATGGGGCACTTGTTCCAGGCTCTATTGACTACTGTGTTTTAAGTTTACCCTTAAGCAGACATGTATTACTCTGTTCAGTTACTCATGTGTGCGTATATGCAGTGACATTTTATATACTGGAGTTGAGTGTGTAGCTGCTTGCCCCAAAGAATATGGATCTGCTTTATCTGAATTTCTTTTGTGGATGTCTGATTAATCCAAAAGCACCTCAGAAGGTCTGGATTCCTCTATTTAGACAATTGATGTTGAAACAAAGAAACCAGGTCCCTAGGGAGGCTGTGGAGTCTCCATCCACATCTCTGTCTGGGGATACTCAAAACATGGACTAGCTCCTCTCCAGTGTTTTCCCCCAACATCAGCTCTTCTGTCATGCCATGAATTGAGTCCTCCTGGCTGGTGGTGTCTGAGAGCTCTCTGGAGTCCATTGATTCTATAAACTGTAATGTAAGCCCAAGCTTGTTGGTAAACACGTGTTTAGTCATTGTGGCTTGACTCAATCACTCATCCTTGTCCTATGTTGCTCTCTTACTGTATTCGTTCAGCTTTATAGAGCCATATAAAGCTTTGAAAAGTCAAGACATACCAGTGAAAGATTAATAAAATTTTTCAAAAGTGCTTGGTAAGATTTTCTTTTATTCAAAATGTTTAATGCAACTGTGAAGTAATTATATTTTTGCTACGTAAATTTTCATCATATTTTTCATATCTTTGAAAGCATGTGGTTTTGTGTTTAAAGCAGGCAACAATAAAACACTTAGTGGTTTGCAGTCTAATTTGTGGATGAAAGTCCTCATTTCCTCTCATGGTAGTAAGTCATATATGGTGATACAATGCAAGATTCAACTTCTAACTTGTCCAAGTATCACTTTAAAAACAAAGCCAATCAATTTCTGGTTGTTTTAACCTGTGAGGTGTGAAACTGTTAAGTTGACTTTATGAAGCTATATTATTTGCTGATTGAAGTTTGATTTTTGTTTTGGAAATCATTGTACTTTCTAGATAATATTTGAAGTTCCTGTAATAGCAATTTAAAGCAGTGTGGAAATACAAGCATATGAGTTACTGTATTGCAGCTTCAAAATTCTAGGTAAAAATCAGTAATAGTTAATTATGCTTGCTTATAGGAATGTGTTTGTTTTAACTGGCAGAATTGGACTGGATGGGATGATCTGTAACTGAAGTATTAAAATCACTCTATGATTTGATCAGGTATCACAGAGGGGACAAATGAATAATATGTATGTGGGAGAGGTTGCTATCAGTCTGCAGTAAGGAGACTCTTGGTTTACTGATGGTTTAGAAATGTACATTCAGGACGATTGCACCTTGTTGTATTTGCACCTTGTTGTATTAGCTAGTAATCCCAAAGCGATTAGACTGCTTATTCAGACAGATCTATGATGACAGTGTATCTGATTATAAACAAAAATAAAGGTATGAATAACATAAGTGTGGGAAACACACCCTAGACTAAATTTTGCATTTGAGATTTCTTTATATACATATCAATGTATGTATACTAAAAAAATGAAATATATATACACACAGATGCATATCCTCCTATATGCATCTACAGAAATATTAACTGTATTCAAGAAGGCCCAAATGATAAACCAGGAAGTATGAGGGGATATTTTAGTCCTCAAATATTCCCTGATTCTTACTCTATACCTTCATATCTGGTTTTAGTGTTCGTATTTAGTGTTCCGTAGTGTTCTGTTGTATTTTATATTCTCTTAAGGTGACATAGACATTTACTTTTTGATGTTTAAGTTACTGAAATGAATTTTTTAAAATGCTTATATTGCATATGCAGACCTGGATTCCCAGAGGAAAGAGTGCACTTAGTTTCCTGTCCAAAACTGATCAGGAAAATACTCTCTCATCCTGTTTGGTGCTGTAGGAGACCCCTGTCCTATATATTCCCATCTTTGTTACGTGGAGTATTTAAAATTGTAACAGCTTATTGCTTAGGATAATGCGGTGCTTTTCAGCTGTTTCCGTGTGAAATGACCCAACTGATAAACGTGGGACGATGAGACCTTCTTGCTCCATTACCTTATGTGCTGTGTCAGTTCTTTGTTGACCACAAGATCAAATTTGAGGTGCTGTGCTCCTTATCTTCGGTAGTGTCAGTGGACGGAGCTCAGGTGACCTTGGAGTAGGTCTCGTTTAGCCTTCTATTTTTGGCTCTGTCCTTTAGGCTCAATGCAATTGTACTTTGCAAGTACAAATTAAGTTGGGGCACTAGTCCATGGCTTTGGAATTCATTTTCATGAGAGATTAGAGTCACTACAAATCTCACCAATTTCAGAGAGAAAAAAAGAACCAATAAAATCTCTTTTGGAAGCTTACTTTCCAACCAAATGAAACTTTTTTTTTTTTTAAATAAAATATTACCTTAAAGGATAATATTGTCAGACTATTCTAAGAACAAAAAATAACAGCTTGGAATAAGAATGCCTCTTCAGACATACTAAACTATTACTGTGGTATTTTACAGTTATTTTATACTCAATTTTATAAATCATGTCGTTCTCATCCATTCTTTTAAAAGAAAATGCAAGTTTAAATGATAACATTTGTGATGTGCGTACGTTGTTAAAAGCACAGTGTGTAGGGGATGGATACAAATTCCCATTCTGTGTGCTGGTATTGGAATTGTCCTCCCTGCCTGCCTCTTCATCATCCCGCATCAGTAGTCCTCAATTGGCTGGAATTAAATGGAACATTTATTCAAGGAAAACAGGTCTCCTTATTTGCATAAACAATGTGGTTTTTTTCTTGCAACCTCAACAGTCGATGTCTAAGATGCAGGAAAACATTTTCTAAAGCATTTTAGTGATGTGGGGATACAGTCCATCCAGCTGGCAGTGGTCTGCATTAATATAGAAAATGGGTTCTTTTCAAAGGTTGACTGTCTTCGTTACAGTTACGCTAGCTGAAAAGACATTTCTTATTTTAATAGTAATTCAGTGTGAAAAATAAACCATGCTGTCCCATTATAAATAATCGAGGAAGCAGATAGCAACTTTAACACTAACAAGCCAAATAGGAATTCACAGCTAAGACAGGTGGTCTGTCTTGGGTCACAGCAGCACTAAGAACTGTACACAGAGGAAACAAGAGTTTCTGGCAGATTCTTATCCAAGTTGGAGTAGAAACAAAAAGATGAAACAAATAGGTTGGGATGACGGGAGAATTAGTTGGAAGAAGATTGGAGACTTCACTTAATGTAGAAGTAGGAAAAGATGGAAATGAGCAGGGGTCAAGATCAAAAGCACAGAGTTCACGTGCAGGGCACACTGGATGGCAATGGGAAACTCAAATTCTAGTTTTGCTGATCTCTCCTAAACAATAATAATGATAAAAATTAAAGTTTTAATAAGGAGAAGAAAAACAAAGCAACATGAAAGCGTATGTAAGTTTGTTGACACTGGTAGTACTTCAGAATCGTATTTGTAGAAAGTGCGTCTGATTCTGGAAAGTTAATATATACCTTGACTAAAAAACAACTACTTTTATTAGATGTCTCATTTTTGTACCAGTGCAAAGAACAGACTATAGATTCTTCTATTTATTTTATCATCTTACATGTTCTAAATTCAAGGTAGGCCATGACTATGGACATACATTATACAAGATGTTACTGAGGTATTAAAACAAAATAGTATGCTTATTTAAAAACATTGTATGTTTTAAAGATTGTTGTGTGCTATGCCTTTGCCTTGTCTCAGAAATGTACATAAGATGCTTTCTCAGCAGCTGAATAATTTATTTTGAGATAGTCTTTCAGAGGTGCACATTAAAGTTGTGTGGATTGATGTCAGAAACTGAGGTTAAATAACAGGCTTGAGGTTAAATAACAGGCACTCGGTTAAAACTATTGCACGTCTATGTCACTTGGCTGAATCCTAATTAAATATAGATGGAAGCAATATCATGAACTTAAATGAACGGGTTTAAGCCTGTATCATATACCAACACATTAAGTCCTGCAGTATTTTTCTCCTACTGCTTAGAGTAGTCATGGATTTGAAAGGTGACTGTCCACTTAGTTCAGCCAAGGAGAGGTGTATGGACAGCTATTTTATTTTTTAATAGTGATATGCCCATTTTCTAACTGTTTTATGGGTGACTTGATAGAGAGGAAGATTAAATTTCACAGCAGTGGCTTTCCACTGTAAACTTACTGACACCAACCTTAAATGACCGGAGTTCTTGTTGAGCTGCTGTAATGTCTCTGTTCTCCATATTGCCCAGTAGTAGTCAGTTGCTTCTGAAGTTCCCATATGATCTTTCAAGCTTGGTCCTAATTATAGCTAACTGCAGTCATGTGTTCTAGAAATTGCATAGTCAGAGTTAGTGTGGTGGATTTTATATAAATAATTGTATTTAGATCAATTAACACTTGATTTTTTTTCCGTTAGAGGCAAGATAGATCTAGCAGCAACAGAAGACCTGAGACTACCTCACTATTGGAAACTTCTTAGATACAAGCAGTAGCAAAATATTTACATAGTAAAGACTGTCTTTTTCAAGTTCTTTTTGTACTTCAGCTTTGAACTATCATTTCTGTTAGATCTGAGCATTTATTTCTTTGTTCATTCAACTCTTTTTTTCAAATTTGAGGGAACACAGATGTGATATCAGCTGGTTGTATTGGAAAAAGTAGGAAATATTCTGCATTCTGAGAAACCTGCTGATCAACTTGAGATTTCCACAATTTTCCCATTCATTAGGAAGTGTAATGACAAATTTGTAATAGAAGAATGCAGCCTGTATGTCAGGCCATAATTTTTAAGGTGGAAAACTTTCATCTACACCTTTTATTTTGATTCAGAAGGACAATCAGTCTTTGTTGCTCACATTATTGTGTTGGATCAAACAAAGTCAGTGCAGTTGTTCACCTCTCGTTACTGTTGACCATCAAGAATCAAATTATGCTAATGGCAATTTCAGGCTGAAGGATAAACAGAATCAAAGAAATAAAAAAAAAAAAAAAAAAGGAAAATCCAAAGTTGATTTGCATTAAAAATCTTGACAATTTCTAAAAGGAAATGGAAGAATTATGACTGGCCAAGCTACCAGAGTAAAGAATTTGTCTTTTCTCCATTAAGTGTGCACCTGACAATTAAATTTTTAGGGTGAAAGAAAAAAAAAAAAAAAAAAAAAAAAAAAAAAAAAAAAAAAGGCAAATCCAAAGTTGATTTGCATTAACAATCTTGACAATTTCTAAAAGGAAATGGAAGAATTATGACTGGCCAAGCTACCAGAGTAAAGAATTTGTCTTTTCTCCATTAAGTGTGCACCTGACAATTAAATGAAGAGTAGCTAAGCTCAGCTTCTTCTATTAGGTACTTAGAGTCACAGTCCCTATTAATAATGCACCTTTTTTCTAGTTTTCATCTAATTATTCTATTCCAGTGGCACATAGACTGACACGAGAATGTCCTATTGCATTTCAAGAGATTGAGCAAGCACATCTGCCAAATCTCCTTGACAACCAGTATGTCCTTTTCTCGATAAGGATATTCAGTGAAATGGAAAACAGATTAATCCTGGATCCACTTGGTCTTATCTTCATACCATTCAGCCAGCTTCCCACATCACCAAATGTCTGATTCTTTTTTTAATACTGACTAATTAAATCATGGATTTTGGAAGGAGTTAATTAGAGAAAAGAAAATAATTCTGTTATCAAGGTTGCATTCCAAATAGAGCTTTAAAAGATTTAAATATGCCAGAACTTGGGCAGAATTCAGTATATGGTACAAAATGAACCAAAATTCCTCTAGCCTTTTATTTGCTCAATGACACTAAAAGGTTAATGTAGTAAAACAGACAGACGCACACAGAGAAACAAATACAGTTTGGGTTTTGTTTTCAAAAATCTCTAGGCTCCCAAAGAAACAGAAAGAGGATTTTCAGGACGTTAGAGATAATGGGAGTTAGCCTCCTAATCTGCTTATGACTTAAAAATTCCACTCCATTTGTATTTAGGCATGTTCTACTCCTGAAAATATGGCTTGTCTGAAAAGTCTCTATCCTCAGGATGGACCTGACCCATCAAAAGATTTGAGTTCTGCCACCTTAGTCTTTCAGTTTTGATTGTCATTTGACATTCTAGTAACAATATGCATTTTTTTTGTGAAAGCTGAGATTTTTTTTTTCAACTTGAAAAATTCTATCCCTATTACCTGATGCTAGAGAAGCAACCACAGTCCGTATCTCATTATGATCAGACCATTATGATATTTTCCTTAGTTATAATTTAAGAAGAAAAAACAGCTTGGTAGGAGAGAATAGTACCTGGGAATTTTCGCAAACCACCATCCTGAGTGCTAATTTGTTCTGTTAAGTTTTATTTTCTCCCAAAAGCCAGTCTTCCCTTTGCAAATTGCTTTCACTTTTCTGCTTCATTACTGTAAAATCCAGACCCCCAACCAAAGAAACTATTGGAACTTTGTATTTACTTCTTTACAAAACTGAAATTTCAGAATAATATTACAGGTCTGTGTCTGTTATTGGCTGTTTTATCTTCTTTTGGGCAGGAGTTAGAGACAGATTTTCCCTTCCTCATTTTTTATACTCTCCTATTTTCATTTGTCATAGCTGAATATTAAATATTTTCAGTAAATATAGAACAATTTTTTTAAAACTTCTCATAGACTTAACTAGCCAAAGATTCAGTAACTTTGCTTACTGAAATGCATGAGTTACTTCTGAAAATAAGACCAGTGAGTTGTGTAGGTACTTTAAAAAAAAAATAAAAAATAGCGTGTGTGTTACTTAGACAATGTGTCATGTTTGCATCTAATGTAGTGGATGTGAGGATACATTGTATTTATTTTAATAGTAGATATATCATACTTGCCTCTCCATTTTCCTGAAGAAAACGAGTATGTTATATCAAGTGAGTTAAAATATATTAGGGATTTTTTTCTGATGTCACCTTTAAAATAAGAGCTTATAGTTTATTTTATAGCTTATAGCTTATTTTTAAATGATGTAAAGTGCTCGCTGTTTTTCTTATGTTTTGCTTCTAAACAACTTTCAAATCAATCTTCCTTGGCTTAAAATGTAAAACAAATCCCAGATGTTTTTGGCCTGGTTGTGTAGAAGCTGAGTAATAGCAACAAGGGCCCTGAACCGTGCCTAATGGAGATCCGTGGAAACCTTCCTGCTGACATTTGAGAGAGCTGGACCTGGCCCCAAGGCAAGAGGAGATGACAAGATGACACTGAACTCTTTCTAGGAACCAGAAGCAGCATCACCGCATTCATCATCAGGAAGAAAGCAGTATTGCAGCAATTCTCTTATCTTACTGCTTGTCACTGAATGTGAATTCTGCTCCTTTTGAGTTTGTTTCCATTTCCGACTTTTGTATTTAAAGCTTGTATTAGTTGTGTATGTTTATGCCGTTCTCAAGACCGTGACAGGTTGGGAGACAATCAATACCAGCATGGACAAGGGTTCCACTTTACATATTGGTACCTCTAAACTGTATATATTGTTAAAATTAACTTTCTTCTCTCTTTAGGCAGGAATTTTCAGCATGAATGCATGTGAAGAGGGGTTTGCTACTGGTGGCAGGGATGGCTGTGTTCGCTTGTGGGACTTAAATTTTAAACCAATTACTGTGATTGATCTCAGGGAAACAGACCAGGGATATAAAGGTAAAAAGTTTGTCACTTTTGATATACCAATAAAATAGGAAATTTACCAGTGTTTTGAACAAGAAGAAGAAATCAAAAGGCCAAAAAGCTTGTTTCATATTTGTTACTGTGTACTATTTGCTAGAAAAAGAATTTGATTATGGCTACTAGTATGAAGGTCATGTAGTCCTTCCAAGTTACTGTAAGGCATGCTATGAAGTTGTAGGTGTAGAGATTTAATAAAATGAACATCTTTTCTATAGCCCAGCAGTTTTTATCAAGGAACAGTAATGCTTTAAGAGAACGTAGAAGAGACAGTGAGATCTACATTGTAGAGCAGCTGAATACAGAAATTGCATTTGCTAGTTATTCACATTTTCATAAAAAACACTTGGAAGCAATCTAGAGTTCTGTAGTACTTAGAATGTTACTTACATATACCTATGACTTCAGTTAGAGTTTTTATTTACTTCTCGCAGCCTATAGCAAGTTTTGTGAGTGTTCTAGGTATTGCTGCTGTAGTGATTCAGGAAAACGACTGGCTTCTCAGTGTACAACTATCCTAACTTCCATTTTATTATTCCCAACCTTATCTACAAACAAGTACAGCTCGTGGGTGCTCACTGCTGCGGCAAGCCTGGAAACTTACTGTTTAGTGGGAAAAATAATTCCAGATACTCTTAAGATGTTACAAAGATTTGCTTTAGGGGGAGCATCTCAGAAACAAGCTGGAGAGAATTGGGCTCTTTGACTGTCTTAACATATAATGCATGTTCTACTGATGCTTCTGTCACATATAATTCAGGTTCATCTAGCAGCTAGTACTAAGGTCCATGATTTGATCAAAAATTGTAATTTAGATTGTCTGAAATTTAAAGATAATAAATGTGTAATTTTAGACACAAATGTCAGTATTAACCAAATTGTAATTTAGATTGTCTGCTACCTTAGTTGAAATTTAAAGATAATAAATGTAATTTTAGACACAAATGTCAGTATTAACCTTTTTCTGTCAGAGATCTTGTAATACAAGAATTAACTATGTCCTTTATTAAAATAAGGCTCACATTTTATTTTAGAATTCTTGTAATACTAAGCTTGAAAAGTTAATGTTCCAAGGGCAGTATGTGTTATATGGAATAGATAAAAGGGGTAAATGCAGGAAAGAGAAGGTATATGGATAATTCTTGGTGTTTTCTTATGTTTATGTTTTATCACATGCTGTGTTACCTTTGTTATACAAATTCTGAGGTTGTATCTCAGTAACAATCTCTTCTACAGGTCTGTCTGTAAGAAGTGTTTGCTGGAGAGGAGACCATATACTCGTCGGGACACAAGATAGTGAAATTTTTGAAATTGTGGTGCATGAGCGTAATAAGCCTTTCCTGATAATGCAGGGGCACTGTGAAGGAGAGCTGTGGGCTTTGGCTGTCCATCCTACAAAACCCCTAGCAATGACTGGAAGCGATGATCGATCAGTCAGGTTAAATCTCGTTTGTGTAACTGCATGCAGTTTTATACAAACAGCTTATTTTGTAAATAACCTAGTTGAAATGTATGCGTTTTAAAGGTATTAGAATGTGGCATTGAAGTGCTTCTGAACCAGTTAAGTTACATTTGAAATTATTGCTCTCCAATCGTAAAATATAGTGGAAATCTATATTTCACAAAAATGAAATGTACATAATTTGAACAAATTTCATTTAGCCTAACGTTAAGCACTCACACACAAGTGTCATAGAATTGCCTTGGTTGGAAGGGGCCTTTAAGATCGAGTCCAACCATCAACCTAACAGTGAAAAAAACCATCACTAAACCATATCCATTTCTGCCAGCCAGCTCTCCAGCCACTCTCCACCAAGCCTGTGGTGCTGCATGGGTTGGTGTGACCCGAAATCCTGTGATTCCTTGTCAGGGATTATGTTAGGCACTCATGGGTTACAATGAAAAATATTATAATAAAAACTTACAGGTTTTACTGTTACCATATTCACTTTTTCACATGCTGTGAATTAACATTTAGTTTGGGAGTTTCATCAAACTTAATACGTGTATAGTAAATAGAATCTGTATTCTGCAAAAACAATGTAAATTATTCCCTTTTACAAGTTTTTCTTTTTTTTTTTTTTTTTTTACACGTTTTCTCTTCTCTCTTAGAAGTGAAATGTGTTTGCATTTCTGTGAAGTATCTCAAGTGTAACATGCTTAAACAAAACAATAATTGAATTATGAATATTGAATAATGTTCTAGAATTCCAGGTGTATCTTGTAAATGATAGATTTTCTGATGTATCTTGTAGTAAAAACTTAAGTATTATAATATTATCTAGTTACGTGTAAGGAGTTATGACTAGTGACTTGTTTATAGGAAAGGATGTTTACTGAGCAAAGTCTTTCATTGTTCTTTAATATTCTTGGCTAAAATGATTAACAAATTAGTGGAATTTTCACAGAGTAGTCTAAAAGTATATATTGTTATATGTTGTCCTTTTTTTTTAATATTCAGAAAGTCAAATGAAATTAATCTGCGTCTGCATTTCCTCATTAGATATTTTCTTCCTATTTTAAATATGAGAATATTCTTTGCTATATACAGAATTCACACTTTTGTATTAGATTTTCCTTGTGGAAGATTATTTTAAATTTGGTCACTACAGTGTCCAGCATTCTGCAGAAATTTTAGGCTTCATGCTGTCTGTGGCACAGCTACAAACCGCTCCTTACATTTGTAATTGTTACTTTATTTTAGAATTTGGAGTTTAATAGACCATGCTCTGATCGCCCGGTGCAATATGGAGGAACCCATTCGCTGTGCTGCAGTCAGTACTGATGGAATCCATCTCGCTCTTGGAATGAAGGATGGCTCTTTCACTGTGCTTCGAGTTAGGTATGGTACAAAAATTAAAAAAAAATACATTATTAACTCTTTCAAGCATGTTATCTAATTGCTTTTATAAATTGTACATATATTACCACTATAGTGACCGTACAGAGGAGATCACTTAGGGTTTCTGTCCTAAATTACTGATCTTTTTTAAATGTGTGTGCTCCGTGTGTTCATGTTGCTCTATAATAACACATTGGAAAAAGTGTATTGGTGTATTTGCAGAGAATGGCAATGTTCTAGGAAGTGCTTTCCTTCAGGTTTTAGCTTTATTAATTGTTCTTGAATTGCGAAGAAATAAATTCTCATTGCTTCCTAAATTGTTTCCATGTGTTGGAATGCTGCTGTCAGCACATCAGCCATATAAAACCAGTGCTGCCTCGTGGCTGGGATCCCACAGTTTTAAAGGGAAAAGGAGATCTGTGTCTCATGTCAGTGAAGTTTTTTTGCCCTGAGTAAATAAAGGTCTGGTAATCTACCTGATTATTTTTTTTTGTGGACCAGCTGGAGCATTCCTGTGGTTTGTTCTCCCTCAGCCCAGTGCAGCACCTTCTTCTGTCACTGTTCCGTTCTCTCTTTTTTTTTTTTTTTTTTTCTTATCAATTGTTTAATTTACAATTAATTTATAATTAATTATAATTTATATTGTGCTCTTACTTAAAGGTTTACAAAGAAGATCTACCTCAACTTAAAGAGCAATGCAAAGAAAAAAGAAAAAGTGCAGCTTCTAAGCGACGAGAGCGAGCTCCAGGGAACAGTATAAGATTACATTTTGTTCATGGGTATGAAAACTAGGATTCTTTAAAATATACAAGCAGACTGTTTGTGTTTTGTAGATTGGTGTTTACAATTTAATAATCTGATGAAAGACTTTTAGGTCAGTTGCTTTGTGATCTATTGTTTTTCATTTCTGTAAAAACACATTTACATTAGAAAGTCTTGTTGCTGAGCTAGACTGATTCTGAACATGAATTCTAAAGTGAATTTGCACTGAAACTTTAGCTGGTATTTATTATTTGAATAGAAGTGACTAAACATAGTATTTGGCTATCACCTAGATTTTTCAGTATCTGGAAAATAATAGTTCTCTTTGGTGTATTATTTTGGAAGCTACGACAAACTTGGTGTAGTTGAAGACGGCTGGGTTCTGTATTGAAGTGGTGGTTCTATCAGTGTTTTGTTAAATAAAAAAATATAAACTGTTTGTACCTAATCTGAAACAATTTACACATTCCTCATGTTAGTTTAGGGATGAAGTGTAATTCTTAATAGGTCCTAGAAATGTGTTAAAATTCAGTTTCATTCTCTTTTTGGTACTAACTTGAGCAACAAAAGGATTTTCAAATGCATCCTTGAAATCTTATGATTTGCTCTTTGGGACTGGTAGTTTCCTGTAACTCTATGCAAGTGAAGACTTTTTCATCAGGACAGAGATGTGGTGTTTTAAAGCAAACTGGCAGTAGATGTTACTACATTAGAATAATGATCAGAAATATAAATTCCCTTGATTCAAAGCAAAGCCAAAGCCTTTATTAAATTAAGGTGTTGGAAATCAGGTAATATTGTGTTTTCCTTTCAAAAGATACCTCTTTGCAGGAATATACCTTGGTTTTGGAGATAACTGCAGAGAGAAGTTACTGATACAGTCTATCTTCATAATGACACACAGAATTTTAGGAGAGCTTCACGTAGAATGCTTAATAAATTATTTGGCTAAGAATAGTTAATCATTCAACTCAGCAATTTTGTCTGTGGAAGACATGGAGTCTGAGGAGTAGGTTTGGAAGTAATGACAACTGGGAAGCTTGGTACAGAGTTGTGTTTTTTATTTCTTTTTTTGATCCTCCTGAATTTTTGTATCAGTTAAGAAAATGCATTAAAGTGGGTAGCTGTATTTAGTCTTTAAAATTTGGTCTAAGAATCAAACCAAATGATCCTGAAGAAGATGTAGCACAAGCAAAGGCCCTGGATCTTTGGGATTATTGTTATTTCCTTCACAACAGAAGTGAAGCTTGACCAGAATATCCAGGAATGACCAGAAGTAGAATGTCCAGTTGAGTTCTGTCTGGTTACCCAATGGGCATCAAGAAAACTAATGAAGAATCCATGCTGAACAACAGATTTTTCTCAATGTCCAGGCTGTTAACTTTAAAGTGACCCACATCCAAGTGAGTAATAGGCATATTCTCTGATTCAGGAAGTCTGCTTTGCTTCATCTTTCTTTAGCTGCAATGGAAATGTCTTGGATGTTCCTTCAAAGTATAAAAAGTGGTGCTTTTTTGAACTAGGGGATAGGAAGCTCTTTTTCCTTTCTCTGTTTTTGAGCACGTTGGTTTTGTGTTTTGAATTTGTTGACTACCCTGAAAGATGAGCTTTTAAAAATCTCTTCTTATCCTGTAAGAAATCTTTTAAACCTCTGCTTACTTCCTCTTTTGGAAGGGGATAAAAACAATAATGCTGAGTATGTGAGCCAGCCACTAACTAATACGGATGAGAAAGCAACTTCTATTAACAGGTTAATCTTTCAGTGCGTCTTTCTCTAAGACATCTGATGCAATTATCATCAGAAACATACTATAAAAGTGGTGTACAAGTTTGGCCTGGTTTTAAGTATTCCTGTGTTTTCTTTCTGCCATGTCTTTCACACTGGTGGTTCAGAAACATAAAAAGGCTACATCTTTTGAGATACTCAGAGGAACCACTTTCTCAGTCTCAAGGCTTATGATACTTTCTTTTTGCTGGCAGGAAATAAGGATGCAAGTCTAATACTTAAGTCCTGTATCCCCTCAAAGCTATGCTGCTGAGCTCACAGGAATGATTTTGTTCTTGTTTTTTAATATCCAGAGGATTTAAGCAAAATCTAGTTTGAGTTTCAGGATATTCTTTGAACTGACCTTATCATAAGATAAAGTTTGGTTATGGTTTCAGGATGACGTGGGGTTTCTCATGCTCTTAAATGAGTCTTATGACGCCTTGCATGGATTTCTACCAGAGGGCTCCAAATACCTACAAATAGCATCTGAAGGGAGCAGGCTATGTGTGGGTCCTCTTGAGAAAACACTATTGCCATGTGGAAGTTTTTTTGTTTTTTGTTTTTGTTTTAATTATCTCTACGTTTTTGCTAAAGAGTCTGACCTCCACCATGTTTATTTTTGGGGAGGGTTGCACTGTGTTCAGAGAAGTCCCACATATACTTCGAAGAGTAACATACAAATTTTGAAAAACTTACAGTATCAGACAAACCATGGACTTCAACTCTTTTCCCAGAGAGGACACTACTTGTGAAGTTCCCCCTTAGTTGGCTGTAGATGTGTAACTTGCAGCTGTGGGTAGGATCCAGCTTCAGGTTAAAGAATTTACAATTGTGTGCCTACAAGTAGGTGGTTTATGTGTGTATCTAAACTTCTGTCACAGTCAGTGGAGATCCAGTCAGTGGAGCATGAAGAGTGATTTGGCACAAGTAAAAACTAAATGCTGACTGGTGGCTCAGCTGAGTCACCCTGCAGGTTCCGTTGGCTGGATTGACTAGAACACTGTTCATTAAAATATAGGTATTAATATATCTATCACAGAGGTGAACACCTACATTTACATGTCTTTATCTCAAACTGAACCCAGTCCCTGCCCTTCATGGCCCTGGTAACAATCTCTTCTTCTGGATGTTGCTGTCATATTAACCTGAATCAGTCCTGGATCTATGGATTGATCAGTTGTTGCTGAAGACCACGTGAAAACATCAACTACTGCAGAGTGCAGTGTTATGATCATTGTGTCTTGTTATATATTGTCCACTAACTATGATGCAGAGCTTGCTTTCAATATTATTTACTCTCTAGTTGCTAATCTTGATGCCTAAAAAATTACTAGTAAATTACTTCTGTGGGTTGTTTTCTGCATGTAAAGGAATTGTTTCTTTTTGTGCTTTTTCTGAGATTAGCTAATAATCTCAATTCTACATTGATTTAGTAATATGAAGATGCAAGTATTTTAGAACTGTGTAGCACATTCTCAGGGAAATAATCATCTACTGTGAGACATACTTCTTTTCATCTCTGCTTGGACTGTCTGAACTCATCTGGTGAGAAGTACCAGTAATCAGGGAGTTGGAGCCTGGCACGTGGGAAAGACCAGATGTGTCTCACTGGGTTACAAAGTGTCTTTGCACTGCTTGATATTTTGGCAAAATAGGTTTTATTTTAATTGTAAGCAGCTAATTGTACACCGATTTGATTTCTTTTTATAACGGGAGAAAGTGAACTAAAATCCAAACTTCTGATCATAAAAGGTTGTAGATATGAGTAATGAGAACTATTTTCCTGCATCCTAGATACGTTTTGGAGGTTTTGGGTAGTCCTGTGATATATGGCATTAACAAACTGAGTTTCACTGTGCTTAGCTTAGGGTATATAGGCAATTGTTATGACAAGAACTGGGAAAATTCTGAATTTCTAGGTTGCAGGTAGAGGGATCTGAGACCTTTTGTTATCTTAATGCTTTTTACTTTTATTAGTGACTGCTAAGCTTGTAAAAAAATTGCTCAACATCCAGAATTTCTATAGCATTATTTCTTTCAGCATACATATTTTCATAGCTGCTTTTAAAAATATTCTCATTTAGGGTGCATATTCAGCTTTTTAAAATTTATTTATTATTCTGCACTTGCAAAGGAAATCCAGTATTTTTAAGAAAGTGTAGTACAGAGTGAAGCACAGGAAAATGACATCTAGGCAATGATAGGTCTAGATATCTTCTCTGGCACTGTGCCTGCCTTTGTAATCCCTGCTCCTCACTGACTGTTGTCATGTCCTGAAACCTGTTGGTGCTTTGTTTTCTTTTTTTCATAGTATTTTATAGATAATTGTGTATGATGTCCCTTTATAAACTAGTGGCTGAACATCAAGGAAGGGTGCAGCCAGGCAAGGGCGAGTGGGCAGCTCTTTGGGTCAGGTAGAAACCAGCTTCAAAACATGCCCAAGTGTTGCTGCTGGGGGAAGCTGTGAAGAGTGCGGATGGAGGGAGGGCAGAGCATGACTGAAGAGTCTGCACTTGAATTTGGGAGTCTCTGTTGTTGGTCACTGTGAGAAGAGCAGGCAGCAGACATGAAGCTGAGCCTCAGACTTACTGGAAAGACACAGATTTTTTCTAGAGACCTTGAAGGGACAGTAGCTCAGCAGACACTGAAGAGCTGCTGGGCTGGGACCAAACCTGAAGTTAGGAACCTGCCTGTGAGCACCAATCTGAACAGTGGATTGGAGGGAGACTTATTTAAGTTCGTGATCTAATGAGACACAGCTTTGGACTTCACAGTATCATCACAGATAATGCAAAACTGGGATGAGTGGCTGGTGCACCAGGTGGCTGTGCTGCCATCCTGAGGGACCTGCACAGGCTGGAAATCTGGGCAGGGAGGAATCTCATGAACTTCAAAAAGGGGAAATGCAACATTCTGCATCTGGGGACGAATAGATCTGGACCATCTGCTGGTCTGTTTAAAAGCTTTGTGAGATTAATTTAGCAATTTTTATCTAATCACATATGATCTGATGTAAGTAATATTGCATGTAGCGTAGGTGAGCCAACAGAAATTCAGTGTGTTCAAATCTGCTCCAGCTATATGCTGTGGTTTTTTCCAGTAATGCATATGTCTAGTGTTTGTGAACGTAGATCCATGGCTGGAGTTTTCAGAATAGTATTCATTAAGCTAAAGTTGGTCAACTGCCTTAAAGATTCATTATTTGACCAGTACGTGGTTACACTATGTACACAGGCTTCATATGATTTTATGACAGACTTTTCTACCTGGACTGCATAATTTCTGGGTCTTAAACCTTTTAAGTGTCTCAGATGAAGTAATTGTCTTAATGCTACCCATTCCTTTTGTGTATGACACTTACTGCTATGTGTACAGTTGCCTCTGTCTTATGCGATCGCTTGAAGAGCTGCACTGCAGCAAAAAGATCCTGCATTTGTTTTCTTCCTAAAAATAATGTCATTTTTTTCTGATGATACATGTTTTTAATTAAGTAAAGAAATCTTGGGAAGTCTACCATAAACATTAGAGACTTCTGTTAGTTTGGAGTTGCCAATGATGAAAGTTTAGTTATTTTGTTTGCCAGGAATGACTTGCTGATCATCCTCAGGGCTTTTTTTCAACTAGTTCAATTAGAAGTTGGGTGCAAAAATACTTAGGTAGAGCCTTATGATCCCTAAAAAAAGATCATTCTTGGCCAATTCAAACACACTCAAGTGTTATTCACATCCTGTAAATTTAATTCTCTGTTTAGAGATGTAATCAGATTTTGCCAGTGTCTTTGTAAGATAATTAAAAAGTTGATTTAGTGAAGATCTGTAAGAGCAGAAGTAGAAACAGCAAGAGGTTAGCTGGGGAGTTAATAGCGTAGACACAGGATGTTTCAGGAGTATGTGGAGTATTGTTTATATCGGAAGAAATGAGGGAATTAAGTTATGCATTTTTAAATATCTCCATTGACTGCCAAGGTTAGCATTATTAAAAACACTAATTTAAAGCTTGCTTGCTTGTTAAATGTTTTTTAGGTTTCTGAGCCTTTTAAATTACTTCTGAAAGTAGGGCCCTAGCCTTTTTGAAAATGCCACCTTTCTCTTTTATGGGGTACTGACTCTTAATCACCCCAGGAAGAAATGGGTGTGCTGTGATGGTGTGTACAGACCTCAGCTGAGAACTGCCTGCTCTTGCCAGGCGCTGCATCTGTACAGGAGGGAGACAGGTTTGCCTTCAAAAAAAGAAAGTCACCTGGAAAAAAATTGATGCATTTGTTTTCTGTTAGCAAGTTCCCAGAAACTTTGATTTTTTATGTTGTGTTGTCCACATTCTTGTGGAAACTTTAGCTGCCTGATTTTTGAGCAGCAAGAGGTAGAAAAGGTCCAAAGTGTTAGTTTTGGTTATTTCATTTAATTACATGCTGCATGCTTGAATCTTCCTTGTAGTCTGGAACAATTACTGGCTATTACTTCCTCTTCTGAACTAGTTTTGGAGAGTAGCTATTAAATAGCAGCTACTTTCAAAATAATGCTAGTAGTACTAATTCCTCAATAGTATATGAAATTGAAAAATTGGTGTTTCTTTGGGAAAATATGTTAATAATCTTAAAATACCATAGCAATAATTGGTAAGTAACCTGAATTTTTACGTGTGCAAAATGCATCTTGGATAATTTTATGTCAAAATTTCTGTATGCAGTTATGACTGCAATGAAGAAACTTTTTTTCTTTAATTAGTTACAGAGGCTACGACTGTCGAAGCAATTTATTTTACACTCAGACGGGTGAAATCGTATACCACGTTGCGGCAGTGGGAGTGGTGTACAACCGGCAGCAGAACACACAGCGCTTTTATCTAGGTCATGATGATGACATTCTTTGCCTTGCTATTCATCCCTTAAAGGACTACGTGGCAACTGGCCAGGTAGGATGCATCTTTATCTGCAATAAGAATCTGAAGTTGTTCATACTGAATTTAGAAAAACCTGTTTTGGAGGAAGGAAGTCCAGTCCATGTTTATTCAGGTGAAGGACTGCATCTGTGTTGCAGATGGAATCGTGGTAAAAAACTGCAACATAAGCATTTTCTCCAGTTCTTTATATTAATTCTGATAAGAGTCTTTAGTTGGTAAGTTTTTTAACCTCTTTTTTACTTAAGAGTAGATTCATATTTTTCATTCAGCATTATGTTGCTTCTTTATGGTAACAAGTAGAGGAAATGTGCAATTAAAATGTTTTTTTTTAGTATCTTAGTTGACAAGTCACTTATGTTGTTATTACATTCATGTATTATTACCTTACATGAAGATAGCAGTTGTTATTTCATTCTGGCATTTCATTCTGGCATATTTTTTTGGTTATCACCTATAGCCAAACTATTTACTGCTTGTACATGCGACATGGGTACGTGTGTTGCTGAAGTATTTATAATAGGGCATTTTATCTTTCACCAGACTAATTTTAGTTACTTTTTTTCACTCATATTTTCTGACAAACGTCTCTTCCCATAAATGTTTATACACCAGGACTTGAAGGTTTAATTCTAAGTTCTAGGGATTTTTTAATTTATTATCATGATTATCATTATTGTTGTTATAGTTATATAATAGATTGGAGAAGATGTGGAGGGAAAGTTTTAACAGAAATAAACTTTTTCTTTTAATGTCCTTAATTTGTGTAAAATTAACAGGAATTAACAGGAAGATTAACTTAGATCTGCAGGTCAGTTTAGAGAATAAAGCCCTAAATGTGGGAATTGATTCTCTTTAATTTTGATGTAGTAAAGACTGTGAATGAAAATGTGCTTGGATTTACTATATTTTAAAATACCTTATGCTATCAATGGAAAGATACACTCCGCTACATACTGCTTTATATATACACATTATATTCTGCTGTATGCTACATTACCTGCAGAAATTAGATAAAGTGGTAGTAAAATTCCCCATGCAACACTGGTTTAGATTTTCCTGAGAGTGAATGTTATGGAAAGCTTTGTAAAATATCAGAGTTCAAGTTTGTGGCGATTCCAGAAATAGATCCTGGTTTCCATGAATCCTACCCAGGGCTTAAACACAGGAGAGTGTTCTGGTTTTGCAGCCCTTTTTTGCAAAACCTTTGGAATAGCAAATAATCTTGTAAATATTGACTAATAATGTTAGAGTCATAGAATCATAGAAGGTTAGAGTTGGAAGGGACCTTAAAGATCATCAAGTTCCAACTCCCCTGACATGGGCAGGTTTTTTTCTGATGATACATGTTTTTAATTAAGTAAAGAAATCTTGGGAAGTCTACCATAAACATTAGAGACTTCTGTTAGTTTGGAGTTGCCAATGATGAAAGTTTAGTTATTTTGTTTGCCAGGAATGACTTGCTGATCATCCTCAGGGCTTTTTTTCAACTAGTTCAATTAGAAGTTGGGTGCAAAAATACTTAGGTAGAGCCTTATGATCCCTAAAAAAAGATCATTCTTGGCCAATTCAAACACACTCAAGTGTTATTCACATCCTGTAAATTTAATTCTCTGTTTAGAGATGTAATCAGATTTTGCCAGTGTCTTTGTAAGATAATTAAAAAGTTGATTTAGTGAAGATCTGTAAGAGCAGAAGTAGAAACAGCAAGAGGTTAGCTGGGGAGTTAATAGCGTAGACACAGGATGTTTCAGGAGTATGTGGAGTATTGTTTATATCGGAAGAAATGAGGGAATTAAGTTATGCATTTTTAAATATCTCCATTGACTGCCAAGGTTAGCATTATTAAAAACACTAATTTAAAGCTTGCTTGCTTGTTAAATGTTTTTTAGGTTTCTGAGCCTCTTAAATTACTTCTGAAAGTAGGGCCCTAGCCTTTTTGAAAATGCCACCTTTCTTTTTTATGGGGTACTGACTCTTAATCACCCCAGGAAGAAATGGGTGTGCTGTGATGGTGTGTACAGACCTCAGCTGAGAACTGCCTGCTCTTGCCAGGCTGCATCCGTACAGGAAGGAGACAGGTTTGCCTTCAAAAAAAGAAACTCACCTGGAAAAAAATTTGTGCATTTGTTTTCTGTTAGCAGGTTCCCAGAAACTTTCATTTTTTACGTTGTGTTGTCCACATTCTTGTGGAAACTTTAGCTGCCTGATTTTTGAGCAGCAAGAGGTAGAAAAGGTCCAAAGTGTTAGTTTTGGTTATTTCATTTAATTACATGCTGCATGCTTGAATCTTCCTTGTAGTCTGGAACAATTACTGGCTATTACTTCCTCTTCTGAACTAGTTTTGGAGAGTAGCTATTAAATAGCAGCTACTTTCAAAATAAAACTAGTAGTACTAATGCCTGAATAGTATATGAAATTTAAAAATTGGTGTTTCTTTGGGAAAATACATTAATAGTCTTAAAATACCATAGCAGTAATTGGTAAGTAACCTGAGTTTTTACGTGTGCGAAATGCATCTTGGATAATTTTATGTCAAAATTTCTGTATGCAGTTATGACTGCAATGAAGAAACTTTTTTTCTTTAATTAGTTACAGAGGCTACGACTGTCGAAGCAATTTATTTTACACTCAGACGGGTGAAATCGTATACCACGTTGCGGCAGTGGGAGTGGTGTACAACCGGCAGCAGAACACACAGCGCTTTTATCTAGGTCATGATGATGACATTCTTTGCCTTGCTATTCATCCCTTAAAGGACTACGTGGCAACTGGCCAGGTAGGATGTGTCTTTATCTGCAATAAGAATCTGAAGTTGTTCATACTGAATTTAGAAAAACCTGTTTTGGAGGAAGGAAGTCCAGTCTGTGTTTATTCAGGTGAAGGACTGCATTTGTGTTGCAGATGGAATCGTGGTAAAAAACTGCAACATAAGCATTTTCTCCAGTTCTTTATATTAATTCTATTAAGAGTCTTTAGTTGGTAAGTTTTTTTTAACCTCTTTTTTATTTAAGAGTAGATTCATATTTTTCATTCAGCATTATATTGCTTCTTTATGGTAACAAGTAGAGGAAATGTGCAATTAAAATGGTTTTTTTTAGTATCTTAGTTGACAAGTCACTTCTGTTATTATTGCATTAATGTATTCTTACCTTACATGAAGTTAGCAGTTATTATTTCATTCTGGCATTTGAGTTTCATACGTTATGTTTTTGGTTATCACCTATAGCCAAACTATTTACTGCTTGTACATGCGACATGGGTATGTATGTTGCTGAAGTATTTATAATAGGGCATTTTATCTTTCACCAGACTAATTTTAGTTACTTTTTTTCACTCATATTTTCTGACAAACGTCTCTTCCCATAAATGTTTATACACCAGGACTTGAAGGTTTAATTCTAAGTTCTAGGGATTTTTTAATTTATTATCATGATTATCATTATTGTTGTTATAGTTATATAATAGATTGGAGAAGATGTGGAGGGAAAGTTTTAACAGAAATAAACTTTTTCTTTTAATGTCCTTAATTTGTGTAAAATTAACAGGAATTAACAGGAAGATTAACTTAGATCTGCAGGTCAGTTTAGAGAATAAAGCCCTAAATGTGGGAATTGATTCTCTTTAATTTTGATGTAGTAAAGACTGTGAATGAAAATGTGCTTGGATTTACTATATTTTAAAATACCTTATGCTATCAATGGAAAGATACACTCCGCTACATACTGCTTTATATATACACATTATATTCTGCTGTATGCTACATTACCTGCAGAAATTAGATAAAGTGGTAGTAAAATTCCCCATGCAACACTGGTTTAGATTTTCCTGAGAGTGAATGTTATGGAAAGCTTTGTAAAATATCAGAGTTCAAGTTTGTGGCGATTCCAGAAATAGATCCTGGTTTCCATGAATCCTACCCAGGGCTTAAACACAGGAGAGTGTTCTGGTTTTGCAGCCCTTTTTTGCAAAACCTTTGGAATAGCAAATAATCTTGTAAATATTGACTAATAATGTTAGAGTCATAGAATCATAGAAGGTTAGAGTTGGAAGGGACCTTAAAGATCATCAAGTTCCAACTCCCCTGACATGGGCAGAAACACCTCCCACTTGACCAGGGGGCTCAAAGCTCCATCCAGCCTGGTCTTGAACACCTCCAGGGATGGGGCATCCACAGCTTCTCTGAGCATGTTTGTACATAGTTGAAAAAAAGAATCTGTATTCCATTTCTTACCAGGTTCTAAATACCTGCACTAATGCTGTTCTTCTGGACAATACTTCACAGGTATCAGTGCATTAGAATCTGACTTCCAGGCACTTGTAATGACACCACAAAGCAACAGAAGTCACCTTGATTTCTCAAACATAGGGTAGCTTACATACTAGCAATAAAAATAACCTTTTATTTTTAGGCAAGGAATGATTGATAGAGAATTGATGGAATAAATATGCCACAGTGCAATCAATGAAGGGCTTCCCCCCTGCCCCGAGAGGACTCTAGTTATTGTGATTAATGTCCCTAAGTTCTTTGGAGGGGAGAAAGAGCCAGCTGGGGAGTGGGACTTGTAAAGCAGGAGAAGGAATAAAACTGCTAGCCAGACAGAAGTAATACTAGGAAAATTTTGTCATTGTAATTTTTTTCTAATAATTTAGAAAGTATTTGTCAATATTATACTTCTAAACAACTGTGTAAAGTAACTGAGAAATGAAAGAAAAAAAAAGGTTATAAATATGTATGCTTTCAGGTTGGTCGAGATTCCTCAATACACATTTGGGATACAGAAACAATAAAACCACTCTCAGTACTAAAGGGCTATCACCAGTATGGTGTCTGTGCTGTTGATTTTTCAGGTAATAAGTATTTATTTTTTTATTTATATAGAGTTTTCCTTTTCTGTATGAAAATACAAGCTAATCAGTTCTAAGGAGCAATTGGAAATTCCTTTACACTGAAGATTTTGTGTTAGAAATGTTCAATGTCAAATGAGAGGGGCTGTCTTAAACTGATCATTTGTTAAAAAGAGCTTCCTTTGGAGTCTTGCACATCAGGAAATGCAAGAACAGGTTCTGTGCCATTTAATAGCTGGGCTGATCACTTGGGAATTTGTTTTGGTTGTATGAGGCAGGCGCACGGATCTGGAGTGTGATGTCTGCAAAAAGCACATTTTTGAGCAAATTGTTCAGGAGTGACCCCTTTTTTTAAAAGAAAATGTTTTTTATTAAATCCTGTAATCTGATTGGGTAACACACTGGTAAATTCAAAAAGTCTACTTATGGAGTTCTGAGCAGAAACCCAGGCTCTCTCTCCACTTGAGACTAACATGAGAGACTGTCAGGTAAATCTTTTGATATTTTTGCACCCCATACATTGAATTCTTCTACCAATGTTACATTTCCTCTTCACTGGCTTCTATTCATTCTTTAATGGTTTGGATTTACTAGATAGGATCTCTAAACTCACAGTGAAGATGTGTAATCACAAAGATGAGTAGTTTGGAGTCTCTTAGGCTTCTTACATTTCTTTTCTTCTCCTTTTTCAAGATGTGAATCTTATTTCCCAAATTTTGGCATAGATGCATAGCAATTTCAAAAATAGATACATGTTACAAAGCTTTTGATCATGAGTGAGCACAAATAACTTACTTCTTGGAGGTTAATATACTTGTCAGAGCTTCTCAAAGACTTTGCACTTACTAAGTTTAAGGATATTTCATAAACTTCCTGGTATTGCTTCAATGCTTTCCCGTTTAGAAGCAAACAGGGATTTTCAGAATGAACAGAAAATTCTCACAGTGCAACCTGTGATGAGGGTTTTTGTGCAACTATGTCAGCAACTAACTGCACAAAGGATTTGGTACAAACACAGAGCATCTAAGTGCCATTTTTAGACTGGGTAACCTGAAGTCCTAAACTCCATCTGAATGACCACTCAAGTTTAAAAGCAAACGGGCGACAGGCATGCTTCTAAGTACAAGGCATGCAATTATTTACTTGTTTGTACATTGTTCTTACAATATTTTTTAAGTTATAATATTATTTAATATGGTTTCTTCTTTTTGCAACATAATGTTACCTATCTACTCTCTTAATCATAAATTTATTTTTCTAGCGGATGGGAAACGATTGGCTTCTGTTGGAATAGATGACAATCACACTATTGTACTCTGGGATTGGAAGAAAGGGGAAAAGCTTTCAGCAGTGAGGTAGGAATTTAACTTTGGATTTAGTCAAATGACAATAGGCGAAATACATGTATTAAAGAATAATAGTTCTCTAATAAAGTAGCAGTTTCTATCACTTAAGTGATACAGGCAAAACCATCTTGTGTGCAGCCTTAAAAACTTTCTTTGGAAGAAAAAAATGAAGCTCTGATAAAGTCAACAAGAATTATTACAGTGACAGCTCAACTGGTGAAGCAAGAAGACAGAGACGACAAAGTTCATTTATGTTTATTTGGTGTGTTCTGAAATAATTTCTTTAAAACTTACTCCCTGCACTTCCTTTGGCCCTACCAGAGATGGTGATGTACGCTCTGCTTTTCAGATCTTTTTCATCAGAAGTCACATCTTCCTTGGGGAAGGAATTTGCAGTTGTTCTGCTCAGAACTGTTTCCTTCAAGCTTCTTTTCTTTTCCTTGTTGAGTCCTGAGCAGTCTGATCTCACCTTGAAGTTACCTCTGCTTTGGACAGGAAGTTGGACTAAGTAACCTCCAAATGATAAATATTTTGGAAGTTTCTTTGACTCTGCACAGATTATTTAATATACATTTGTTAAATAGAATTTTGATCTACAAAATATACTGTTATTTCTAATGTTGAGTAATGTTTTTCAAACCTTGACTTTTGTTTTTTCTAAGCATCTATTGCTTTAAATAAAGCAATTTTTTTTCAGCTTGCTTTTTTTTTTTTTTTTCCCAAATCCCACTCCTCTCTGAACCCACCAATTTCACTTAGTTCCTTTTTTTAATCAAACTTTAACCAGTTTATATGGGATTTAGTTTCTGGAGTGTTTTAATTCCTACCTACTTAAAAGAATTGAACAGAATTTTTGAGACCGACATCCATACTTTGAAGGTTTCAGTGTGAGTTTGGAAAGAAACTGCTTCATGCTTTTTGCCACTAGTTCATTTAGTGGTCTGAAAATGACAGAAGGTAAAAGATTGTTGCCACTCTTGAACAGGGAACAAAAACTAGGGATTAGAGGCTCCTCTGTATTTTAAAGAAAAAAAAAAATCTACCAGTAAGCATTTCTTTCCTTGCACAAACATCATTGAAATCTGTGTTTCAAAGTATAAGACTGAAGCAAAGTATTGGTTTTATAGAAGCATAATAAGAAATCTATCACACGTAACATGCTTTGATGTTTTTAGAAACAACTGAAATTTCCATTTGAAATTGATATAGCAGTATATGTTTTATTCTAAAAAGAAAAATAAATTAAAATATGGATGAGAATGGAAATTTATTTTCAAGATGAGAGACTTTTAAATAATATTTACTCCTTTACACTGTTAAGTTTCATTATGAGCTGTCAGAGGTCTAAATGCCATATACCTTAACTTAGTTCTTTTGCAAAGAAAATGCCACCTAGTGGAATTCTGAAGTAACATAATTACTCACCTGCTTTGGAAACTGAAGGGTAATGAAAATAAAACAGGGCTCAGTATGTTAGTTCTTTGGCTTTCTTCTTCCTCATGATAAATTATTGTTAATTATTTGGAAATAAATGTTAGCAGGGTATAGATGTATACATTAGGAAAAAAAACCTCAAACCAAAACCCATTTAGAGATATAAATGGTTATATTTTTATTCAAAATATTTTCCTTTGCATTTCAGGGGAAGCAAAGATAAGATTTTTGTTGTTAAGATTAATCCTTATCTGCCTGATAAATTGATTACTGTTGGAATTAAACACATGAAATTCTGGCGTAGAGCAGGTAAGGAAACTTTTCAGAATTACAGCCTTCTCTGTTACTTGAAGTAAAAATATTGCATGTCTTATAGTATGTTTCATGCATTAAAGGCAACTGTTTTCTCTTTATAGCTCTCTAAGTTAGCTTTGCCCTGGTACAAATACTGTTAATTGGCATTATGGTGGTAGTGGGAATTCTTTTTAAGATCAATTTGCCACAAGCTCTTCACAAGTAGAAAGGACCCTGGATTTCCTACTGTCTGTTTTAATACAGCACATCTGAGCAACTGTTTTCTCTTTATAGTTCTCTAAGTTAGCTTTGCCCTAGTACAAATAATGTTAATTGGCATTATGGTGGTAGTGAGAATTCTTTTTAAGACCAATTTGCCATGAGCTCTCCACAAGTAGAAAGGACCCTGGATTTCCTAGTGTCTGTATGTTATAAAGAGGCACAAATATAAATAAATTTAACGTTAAAAAAATCCACAGACAAACTACTTGAAGAGGGTACATGTGCCAGTTGAGACTGGTTTGTTTAGATACCTCTGTTTAACTTCACAATTAAAAACTGAGATAAAGCAGCAGTTTGTTTAGATAACTCTGAACTTCACAATTAAAAACTGAGATAAAGCAGCTTGCTTTATCTGCTTGAAAAATTTTGAAGAGTGAAAAATCCATTCCCTGATATTAGTGTGAACTGCATTGTTTGAAACGTCAAAATGTCTATAAAGACATATGTGCTACAGAAGACAAGCTTATCTGCTACAAATGTTCTAATTATTCATGCAGAATTTATGCACATCAACTCACATGAGTCCCTGGTAAAGATTAATTGTGGAGAGGAAAGTCTGTGATGAAAAAACAATACTGGTTTTCTCAGTTCTGTCTCCAAGAGAAATTAATCAAGACTACCCGAGAGCAAGCTGCTGAAGTCTATAGAAATTATTAATTTTAACAATTGTGCTTTCTATCTATAGAAAGAACAAAGTGTATCAGAATAGTTACTGAACAAATTACTCTAAATTCGTTAAGAAGAAATCTTGACTATGATAAAAGCCTAGAGATGGTAATTTTGAATAAAGAAATGAAATTGTTTGGGGTTTTTTGTTTGGGATTTTTTGTTTGTTTGTTTTGTGATAAAAGCCTAGAGATGGTGATTTTGAATAAAGAAATGAAATTGTTGGGTTTTTTTGTTTGGGATTTTTTTTTGTTTGTTTTGTTTTGTTTTTTTCTCTGGTACTGCTCAGTCAATCAAATATCTCTAATGCTCCAGCCCATCTGTGTGAAATTGCAATGGTGCACAGGTAGGGCAGTCACCGGGAAACAAACTGAGGGGCATTAATGTTTGGATATTAGTACACCTTCACAAATGCCAGGCCTGGGCAATCTGCACCCAGAGCAGGTGCACTTGGTGGGAAAAGTGACACCAAGTTCATGCTTTGAACTAAATTTTCATCAGTGCCGAATAATAGCAGAGAGGTTCAGAGATCCTGCCTCTGGAAGTTGGAGCAGGGTATTGAAGTGTCAGATCCTGAGGGGTTTCTGCGTTACATCACATGAAGTTTCTCTTGAGGATTGTGAGAATATAAATTGGACTTTCTAGCCAGAAGTTACTTTGTGCTATACACGTCAAATGATTTTAGATTTGGTATTTTAAAGAATTTTAAAATTAATGTAGCTGTAACATTTCTATTATCCAGAGGCCAATATAGCAAACCTCTAAAATCAAATTAGAAATCATCTCACTGAATGAGATGGTTGGACTAGATGATCTCCAGAGGTCCCTCCCAACCCCATATCATTCTGTAATTCTGTGAAAGTGTGTTGTGAAAGGGATGGGATGTCAAGTTTTAAACATTTTTTTTCTTTCAGTTTAATTTCATTAGGAATTCCTATGTACAGTGCAGTAGCTACTAAGTTTTTTTTGTTCAGATGCTGGTTTACAAATGCACTTTCTCTTTGTAAGTCTACGTGAGTATATGAACATATTCAAATTCAGATTCAAGTAGAAAGTTAAAAGTAAGTTTTTTGTCTTGAAAGATGCCACATAGTACAGAAAATTTATGGGGAGCATGGGTGAACCAGAAGAATAAGAAGACTTGTTCCTCTGGGTAAGGTTGTGTAGTTTATGGAAAATTAATTCTGAGCAAAGATCTGATGACTGGTTTTTGGTTTGAACCAGGCGGAGGGCTCATTGGGAGAAAGGGCTGCATAGGTGCGCTGGGAAGAACCGATACCATGATGTGCGCAGTCTATGGCTGGACTGAAGAGATGGCCTTCTCTGGAACTTCCACGGGGGATGTGTGTATTTGGAGAGATGTGTTTCTCATAAAAACTGTCAAAGCACATGATGGTCCTGTGTTCAGCATGCACGCGCTGGAAAAAGTAAATAAACTGCTCATTGTTTCTTGATGTCTGGATGAAAAATGTCTATGAAGTTAGGCCTTTCCTAAACTCAGGAACCTGTGGCTTTATTTCCATTACAAAAAAAGCTTTGTGAGGTCCAGATGCAAAAGTGTTTTATGCAAGTCTCTAATTCTTATGTAATGTGCTGTTTCTCAAACTTTTGTTGTCTAGTGACATCTTAATTCAGTAATTTTCATGATCTGTTACTAAGAAATAAGTAGAAGTACTTTCTGATTTAAGCATCCATGAGTTTAGTGGACTATGTGAGCAAGTGAGAGAAGAAGATGATGTTCATACTCTTACTATTTTGCGGTGTAATTGCTGACTACTAATAGAAGCATTTAGTCTGTAGATCACAAAGTTCTCTCTCCTGATTCTCAATTTCTTTTATTCAGGAAAACCTTTCAGCACGTGCTTAAATGTGAATGGGTGTTCCAGTTAGATTTCTTGTATGTTTGAAGTTACGTGTTTGTGTTTTGCTGGGTTAGACCAAGTTACTCCACCTTCTAATATTTGACTTTCAGTATAGCATATATAGTATAGATAGCCAAAAGGATATTGAGGCTAAATATCAAGAAAAACTTTTCAGTATGTCAGTTAAATTATTTTTCTCATATAGTAGAAGCTTATTGGTTAGAACTTTTAAATCCAGCCTGTGTACATGGACTGTAGAGATCTGTGCTGCCTTCATCAGGAGAATTCAACCATTTTGTTGCTCCTGATCTTTTAATCTCTAATTTATGTAGTTCTGTGCATTGCAGTGTTGTATATAATCCATTTTTAGTATTGACAGAAATCTGTGAAAAATTATAGAAAAGTAATAATTGATTATAACTTGTGATTTTTTTCCCCCTCCTCTGCCAGGGATTTGTCACTGGAGGAAAGGATGGGGTAGTAGCTCTCTGGGATGATACTTTTGAACGTTGTCTCAAAACCTATGCCATCAAAAGGGCTGCTTTGGCTCCTGGGTCTAAAGGTAACACATACTTTATCCTATTTTTATTCTATTTAAAATATTTTCTTTAAAATAGTCTTTTTGTGCAAATGCTTTCCCCAGTAGGAGGAAATCCGCATTTGACACGATGAGTACTAAAAATGATTTTTTAAAAGCATTATTGATTCTAAATAAGTCATTTTTATGTTGGGAGGGGAATGGTGTCTTGTGGTGTCTGCACATTTGGGTGGTGTATATCTGCCTGAATTAATTGATTTAAGCTTGAGTCTCTTACCACCCAGGTCATTTTGTTGTTTTTTTTTTTCTTTTTTTTTTAAAGTGGCAACCACAAAGCTGATTATATCTCTAATCATGAATTATCTTGTCTGATCTTTTTTGTTTTAGAGAAGGAATGGAATTCAGAATTGTGGTTAGTTTTGCAAGGGATTAGTACATTTTATGACTTAATTTTCTGTAAATGCATATGTCTCTTGAAATTATGTAAGAACATTTTCACTCTTATTCCTATTTCATCCATTTATTCTTGATCTTCGTGCTGATTTACAGTTTTCCCTATGTGACGTTTTGGATAGCAACCCCCTCCTGCTCCTCCCCCCCCTAAAATTACATTTCCTGTATTCTTATGTATGTGGTTTGATTTTCAAAAATAATGTATGAAAACACCCATTAATTAAGACATTCTACTATCTCATTCTCATATCTATTTAGTAAAAAGCTAGATTTGAAGGTACTGTAAATGCTAGCAATATAGAAGTATAGAATCTCAGAATCTTCATGGTTGGAAGGGACCATTGAGATCGAGTCCATAGTTGATACTTCATATGCACTTTTTTTCACTAAGATTGTCAGCAGGTCAGGCTGATTAAACTTCAGAGCTACTCAGTTGAGAAGAAAGGATAGTGTCAGTTGGGTAATTGCTAAATACTCCCAAAAGAATTCAAACATATATTCCATGCAGGAATATGTTTTCACTTGTTTACTACTGAGTATCTTTTTCTACAGTGAGAATATAATGTGCGTATGTGTGAAAAATTCTCTTTAAGGCATACTTGAATATTCTGTCTTCTAACATTCTAGGTCTCCTCTTAGAAGATAATCCTTCTATACGTGCCATATCTTTAGGACATGGTCATATTTTAGTGGGCACAAAGAATGGTGAAATATTGGAGGTGGATAAAAGTGGACCAATAACTCTGCTGGTTCAGGTACGTGCTAAATATCAGTCAAATATTCTGTACCACAAACACTGTTTTATTTTTCAAGTAAAGACTGTGAAATAACAAGCATTTTAATTTTGAGTGAAGTTAGTGAGTTACTATCACTTCTTAGATTTTTATGGCCAGGCTGGACCATTATGACTCTTTAATGAGCCGAACAGATCACAGAGTTTCATATACTAATTTGTTCAACAAGTTCATCCTTTAACGCAGACCAGATCAGATTTCTGTTTAAAAAAACCCAACAAACAACAGGTAAAAAGTGTGTGTAACAGTGGATCCTTCATTAAATTCCTTATTAACTTTTTTCTGAGTACTAATTACTGTTACTATTTTAAAAAGTTATCTCCTTGAGGTTTACTTCTAGGTTTTCTTTGTAATTATGTAAAAAACATTTCAGTTACTAAACAGACTCCAAAACAGATTTATAAATCGTGTCATCATACGATTTTCTTTCAAACTTAAGAACAAATCTGTGGATCTTTAATTTGCGCTTCTGAGTGGCCGATGCAATATGTAAAGAAATAGTTTTTTTTTTTTTTTAAAGAATATATTAGAACCTAAGGTAAATAAAAAAATCTAGGTCATAGAAACATAGACCTGAACGTTTCCAGGGATTGGGGTGTCTACCACATCTCTGGGCAACCTGGGCCAGTGTTTCGCCACCATCATTGGAAAAAATGTCTTCCTTATACCTCGTCTAAATCTGCCCTCTCTTAGTTTAAAACCGTTACCCCTTGTCCTATCACAACAGCCCTGCTAGAAAGTTTGTCCCCATCTTTCTTATAAGCGCCCTTTAAGTACTGAAAAGCTGCAATAAGGTGTACACAGAGCCTTCTCCAGGCTGAGCAACCCCAGCTCTCTCAGCCTGTCCTCACAGGAGAGGTGCTCCAGCCCTCTGATCATTGTTGTGGCCCTCCGGTGGCTCCACTCCAACAGGTCCATGTCTTTCCTGTGCTGAGGGCTCCAGAGCTGGACACAGTACTCCAGGTGGGGTCTCACGAGTGCAGAGTAGAGGGACAGAATCACCTCCCTCGACCTGCTGGCTACGCTTCTTTTGATGTAGCTTAGGATACAGTTGGATTTCTGGGCTACTAGTGCACAAGGTCGGCTCATGCCCAGCTTTTCATCCACCAGTACCCCCAAGTCCTTCTCATCAGGCCTGCTCTCAATGCCTTCATCCCCCAGCCTGTTACTGATACCGGGGGTTGCCCCAACCCATATGCAGAACCTTGCACTTGGCTTTGTTGAACCTCATGAGGTTCACATGAGCCCATTTCTCAACCTTGTCCAGGTCCCTCTGGATGGTATCCCATCCCTCAGGCGTGTTGACACTGAGCTGAGTGGAGCAGTCGATGGCAAACTTGCTGGGCAAGTTTTTATGTCTTCAGCAAACTTGATCCCAGTGTTTATGTCGTTGACATAGATACGTGTGAGGATTATTTCTTAGGGAAAAGTTTTTTCTAGTGATAATTACTGTAATTTGCACTTCTACTTGTATGTAGCAGGGTGAGGTTTTTTCCTGTTGAGATATTTCTTTGTCCTCTAATAATATGCATGTTATCTCTCTTTATTTTTAAACTTCTTTACATGTATTTTTTCATATTTCAGTTTAAAATACAAGGTAATCTGATTCGTTGTGTTTTTTCAGGGTCACATGGAGGGGGAAGTTTGGGGTCTAGCTACTCATCCTCATTTACCTATTTGTGCCACTGTAAGTGATGACAAAACCTTAAGAATATGGGATTTATCTCCTAGCCATTGTATGTTAGCAGTTCGCAAATTGAAGAAGGGTAAGATGCTTAGTATGAAAAAATATTTAACTGAATTCAGTTGATGTTTACTAGCATTATGAATCTTTCAAAAGCAAGACTGAATAAATTTGTTTCTTTGCTCAAATTATTTTATTGATGCTATGCTAACGATTTATGTAGCCCTTAAGCTAATGAATCTGTAAGAAATATTTCTATGTAATACTGTTCTTAAGATTATTTGCAGTTGTAACATATTGAAGTCAGTGAAATGACAATAAGGGTTGAGCCAATTACATAATTCTGCCACATTAGTATTGCAGGCTTTTTTTGAACAATAGTGGACTTTGAATCTAGAAATTTTTGGAAGAAATCTTAGGAGTAATGTTGAATTCTTCCTTCTGACCATTAGAAGAATCTGGAATGTCAAGGAAAGAGAACAGTCATAAATTTCTTACTCATTGTCTACTGTATAACTAAGTTCTGTCTTGACAGATGGAAAATCTGTTGTAAGTGACATTGTATAAAGAGAATTTTTTTAGGATTAGACCAGACTGGCCTTAACAAGCTTTTAATCATGTCTATATGCTTTGCTAGACAAGGAATACAATAGGCTTTATCTGTTTAGCATTCAGTAAAGCATTCTGATCCAAACTTTACAGGAAGCTTAGTTGAAGATGATTTGGATCGATAAAGTAAATGTAAGAAGAGTCATGAGCTGGCACAAGCAGGGATTAACCAAGAAAGTTTCAAGTTAGTGGTCTGCTCAAGTCTTAAAGCCGATATTTCTTAATAGTTTTAACAGTAGTTTTGGCAGAAGAATAAGGGCTGCGATAACTTAATTTGCTGATGAGACACATTTTGAGATGCTTTGGCAATCTTAAACAGTACCTGTGTACTGTACAGAAAGAGCTGGATACTTCTGCAGATTGCAGTAATGGAAATGAGATAATAGTTGGTAATTAAAAAAGGCAAGACTCAGTGACTGTAAGAAAAATATCTGTGTAGCTGAGGAGTAACTGTGGAGCAGAAGGCTCAGGATGTTCTAGCTGATGGCAGGATGACGGTTACCTGTGAGGTATTTTTCCCAGGACATAATGAAGTATGCACGTAGTTTACAAGAGGCTAATCAGAGTATTTTTGGTATACACTTCTCATCTGTGTTCAGCTGAATGAAATTAAAGTGACAGTTGAGTATGGAGAAGGAGGAGCTAAAGGATAACGAATGAGAAGCTTTGTGGTGGAGTCAGCTAAATGAAGGATTACTGTCTACAAGTTAATCGGAGGAACAAATAGGAGGCAAACATATTTATGCTAATGAAAAATTTCTGGCATGGAAACAAATCTATATAAACTGACCATAGATGAATCTTGATTGAAATTGAACTGTTTTTTCAAATGAAACTTGATGTGTTTATCAAAAGGATTATATGACATAGTGACAGTGGTAGCAAATGACTGGATTCTGTGAGTCCAGAAGGTCTGTTCCTGCTGTGGTCTCCTTACCAGAACAAATGGTAACAACGGTACCAGAAGAGCAATATTCAAAATATATAAACAATAGTGATTAATCTATGTTACTAGTGTAGAGCATATGTCAATTAGTATGCAAATAAATGTAATCTAAGATTCTGGGATTTGTTAGTAGCTTCTGTGTGCTCTCACAGCTTGGAAATTATCTTGGCAGTGTTTAAAAAATTTCATTGGACTATATCCTATAAGAATAGCTTTCCTTTATTACTGGAAGAATAAATCTAAAAGAGGGATTATGCACTGTAACCGTACCTGAATGCTGTTTCTGTGTTCCTCATAGGAGGTAGATGTTGCTGCTTTTCTCCTGATGGAAAAGCATTAGCTGTTGGTCTCAACGATGGAAGCTTTTTGATAGTTAATGCAGATACCCTGGAGGATCTGGTCTCTTTCCAGCACAGGAAAGATGTTATTTCTGAGATCCGATTTTCTCCTGGTAAGTGATTTCAAATGAAGATTTTTATATCAAGCAGGTTGTTCAAGCAGGCTTTATAACCTTTAAAAGATAAAAGAAGTAGAGATCTGTAGCGCTCTTTTACATGTAATGAGTAAGTCAGTAAGACTCATACTAACATTTTGAAAAATACTGAGTCTGAAGTCTTGTTTAAGGTTGAGATTATTGGAATAGGTTTGCTCATAGTAACCTCCTGAAATGCAACAATTTTAAATCATGAGCATCCAGCAACCTCCCTAAATCCCAAGGGTTCAGCGTTAGGAGCTGCATGAGCTTGACTCCTCTGAGGTTACTGTTAGCTAATGAGAGTGCTTGAAACTGATGTGTTGGAAAGTTCCGGTGTCTTTTTTTTTTTCGTTTTCTTTTTCTCCCTACAGTGCTAAGCACTCCCAGTGAGGCTAGCTGTTTTTAAACAGCACAGCTCTTATTTAGGAGTATGACCTAAACTCATGTGTATGTCCTAAACTAATATATGTGTATGACCTAAACTAATAATACTATTTCAGTGAAAATATTCTTCTGTAGGAGAAATTGGATGCAAATTACTGATACCCATTCTCATGTAACATTACTTTCTGGTTACCTAAGCCTTAGTGCTCTCTGAGTGCAGTAAAAGTTTACAATTTCATGAGGTAGTTTTTATTGTTTGAAGATGTAATGATGTCGTGGTTGTATATTCCATACTGATTTTGATTGTGATATGAACATTGGTCTGTTGGGGACTATGTATAAATTAGCAAGCTCATTTCAAAGAAATCTGAGTTGCATGGCTGAATTCCATAATGTACTTGTGTTTAATACACGGAGCACCACAGCATTTTGAAAATGTCTTGTGTTTCTACTGTTGTGTTTTAGGAGCTGGAAAGTACTTAGCTGTGGCATCCTGTGACAACTTTGTAGATATTTACAATGTAATGAGCAGCAAACGGGTAGGAATCTGCAAGGGAGCCTCCAGTTACATCACGCACATGGACTGGGACATAAGAGGTAAGCAGGAATCATTCTGAATATCCACTGGGAGATTGACCGCATTATAAACTAAATGTAGTACATCCCCAGTATGAATTTATGGTATCACTGACAGATTTGTTTCTTTGGTTTATGAATATGCTTGTAGCATCTGAATAAATACAAACCCATGATTTTTACTACTATTTCTATTTTTAGAATTTTGCAATTTGAAGTAAAATAAATTTTCTCTATAGATTTGTTTGGTTGGTTTTTTTAACATCTTCTGTGTTTATTGTTTGATGTATACTTCTTAAACAGTGTACTGCGTAATGGAGTTGCATCTGTAGCTCAGGAATGTGTATCTGTGTTGTCAAAAATAGCAGAAAGCCTGGATTTCATGTCTTCCTGGGTCTTAATCCGTGATTAATTTAAACACTAACTTTAGTCCTGTTTCATAAAAAAAACAAAGCAGTGCAGTTGTGCAGTCTATTAGTTCCTGCTTTTGTTCCTCTACATAATCACTTTTGAAACAGTCCAGTTTAATTGGAAAGAGTGTTACAAGTTAGCTTTGTCTGAGAATTTTGAAAACAGGAAGAGAACAGAAACAGTAATGAGAATTTCCCTCAGAAGAGAAGTAGGATAAAGGCAAGCAGAAGTCAATCACTGGGGAGCAGCCACTGGCCAGGCAGTGTATGTGCTTCTCAGTCCCAAGTGCAGGCACATACTGGTCAGCCAGTTGTCACAAACAAGCTCTGAGTTAGACCCAGTACATTTTGTCTACCATCTGATGGGACAACCATAAACAGGAGAGAAAAGTAATGCATTATTACAGTTTTCAAAGAGAGGAGTAGGGACTGTGAATTTAAGGGGTCAAAGGACTCAGATCTTCAGAATTCAACAAAAATTGAAAAATAACTATTTTTAATGGAATCTTCTATTTAATGTTAATATACAACATGTTTTGTAGGGAAGCTCTTGCAAGTCAACACTGGTGCTAAAGAGCAGTTGTTTTTTGAAGCTCCTCGTGGGAAGAAACAGACAATTCCTAGTTTAGAGGTAAGGACATAGACTGCCTTCTTAAATTGATGGCAAAGCAGATTTATGATACAACTGCTTATTCTGCGTAAGAGGGAATGATGTATAAAACTATGATTTTAACTCGTCTGTTGAAAAGGCTTCTGTTCAGGCACTTGCTATTCTTTATCCTTTTTTTTGCAGCCTGTTCAATTAGATAATGTAATCACAATGATAAAATACGTAGGGGATATCACATTTGTCTCTTCTGTTAAGAAATGGACATTTGACTAAGTCATGAAAATCTCACTGGACTTCTGTACGCCTCTTTTCATACCTAAACACCTTTAGAAAGTGATTGCAGATTACTTTGCCCTAAACTTGCTGTGGAAGACCTCATGCCTATCTTTATATAACAACGCAATATAGTATACATAATATGCATAGGCAAGTGAAGTATATTGTAGCTATAATATTGATTTGTTTTCTCAGACATAGAGCATAGTCATAGGGCAGAGAGTGATAATGGATAATTTTCAAATAATACTGATTATAAAATTGAAGGGCAGTGTTGAAAAATGTCATTTTTTTTCTCTAACCTGGATGGGGATGTAACGTCAGAATTTTTAAAATACTTCTAGAGACGTTGGAATTGGAAGTTAATAGAGCTAAAATTATCTCAAATAAAATCCTGAATAGTCAGAAAGTAGGTGGTTAATCTTTTAGATGTGATGTATCATCCAGTGCAAGGACTTTTTCTTGAAATCAGATATGGAAGAAAACTGCCTGGGAAAAAGCGTGCTCTGTCTCAAACAGGTTGTTTTTATAGGTAGAAAAGATTGGCTGGGCATCATGGACAAGTGTTTTGGGCTCTTGCTGTGAAGGAATCTGGCCAATAATTGGTGAAGTCACAGATGTTACTGCTTCATGCCTCACTAGCGACAGTAAAGTATTAGCCACAGGAGATGATTTTGGATTTGTGAAACTGTTTCGCTACCCTGCTAAAGTAAGTAATCTTCAGCTGTTCATAGAAAAGATGAATAAAGCTGCCTTTTCAAAATGGTAAAAATTCATCACTCAGAACAAAATAGTGCTTTTGTCCTTATGATCAAAGAAAGCTTTTAATATTCCACCGTAATTTGCAATGCATTAAACTTTCAGCTTGTAGAATGACCATTCCAGCTTAGGCTAAAGAGCCACCTCTGGTGTTCTGTCACTGACAGTGGCAAATACATGGGAAAAAAAAAAAAAAAAACAGGAATGGAGCAGGCACTGTCTAATAATATCTTGGCATTAATAACCTCAGTGTGGGTTTTATCAGTGTCATTTTTAGCCCCTTAAGCTCTTGTTTTGGAAGACAATGAATATTTCTTCCTCAGTTTCATTTCACTCATGATTTTATAGACCTTCATTCTGTGCAACCTCGGTCATTTTTCTGTAAGATGAAGAGCTTTAATATTATTTAAACATGCATCATAGACAAGCCATTCCAGAAGCACATTATATTTTTAGTGCTCTTCTAGAACCTTTTTAGTTCCCTGTTATTTATCAGTAAATATGTCTTCAATTTTTAATATTTTGCCGTGTTAGGGATGGTAACAATGCACAAGTGTTGATTCCAGATATTCTATGTGCATTTTATTCTTAATCTGTCAGACTATTTTCTCTCTTAGGAAAGATGATCCAGCGTTTATTGCTGGAATCTGTTTATAAAGATATTCTTGCATGCTTGGTATAGAAATATGGTTAACATTTCGTGAAGTTGCTGGAGGAGAGGAACTTGGCAAATCATGTGATAAATACAAATGCAAACCAGCTGAAATATAAACTGTAAAGAATTTAAGAACACGTTGTGCACTGGCAACTCATTTCAGTTTTCTCTGGCCGACTGATTAAATCTGATTTGTGCCTTTTCTTCTCCCTTTTTAGGGAAAGTTTGGAAAATTTAAGAGGTATGTTGCTCACAGTACCCATGTAACAAATGTCCGTTGGACCTATGATGACAGTTTGTTGGTCACTGTTGGAGGAGCAGACACCTCTTTAATGCTGTGGACTTACGAGATGGAAGGACATCGGGATAGCAGGCAGTGTGACAGTGAGGAGTCTGATCTGGATTCTGAAGAAGATGGAGGTCAGTAAGAATTTATAAAACTAGCTAGATTATGCTATCTCAAGAAGACTTTATTAATGGAAAACTGCTGATTTAGAAAAAAAATCAAGTTTTATATATGGTTGTTTTAAGCTTAAGTAGCATAGAAAATACGAGGGGTAATGGGTACAAGTTACTCCAGGGGAGATGCCAATTGGACACAAGAGGAAAATTTTTCACAGTGAGAACAATCAGCCTTTGGAATAATGTCCCCAGGGAAGTAATAGATTCCCTGTCATTGGACATTTTTAAGATTCAGCTGGTCAGGGTGCTGGGCCAGCTTGTCTAGACAGTGCTTTTGCCAAGAAAGGTTGGACCAGATGATCCTTGAGGTCCCTTCCAGCCTGGTATGCTGTGATTCTCTGAACTTAGCAGCAGGTCCTTTGTTCGTCACCCTGAGTTAAGGCCAACCAAGCAGAAATGGGGTAGCTTTGAATGTCCCTTGAATCTTTGTTAATCTTTTTTCCACAAAAATACTGGAGAGAACTTTTTTCTTAGAATATCTTTTATTAAGAGTGTTCATGATTCCCAGATACTTTCTTCCTGTCCTATTTATTATAATACATGGTATAATTGTTCTTATAGTCCAGTACATTGTTGAAGCCTGCACAAATTATGATTTAATTTTTTTCTAATATCTTATTTTGTTTTGAGACTGTACACTCTTATTTTTTAGGTTATGATAGTGATGTGACAAGGGAAAATGAAATTAATTACACCATCAAAGCCTTATCAACAAACATTAGACCAATGTTTGGAATTAAGCCTCATCTGCAACAAAAGGAGCCAACCTTAGATGAAAGGTAATTGCTAAATTACAATTCTAGCCAAAAAAGCAATCTGAAAATATGATTATTAGCAAAATGTAATTATATTTTATATATACAACTTAAAAGAATATTAATTTTTATTTTATTTTTATTTCCCTTTGGCTTCCTGTGAAGGCAGGGGGTAGTGAGGTAAGTTCATTTACACAAAGTCCGGGATCGAATGCATTTTAATAACTTAAGCTTCTTGGGAAAGTGATTATTCTTTGAAACAGAAGTGAAGACTAACTTTTTGCTATTAAATAGCACCTTGTTAATGGGTAGAAAGGGGATTAGGGACAATGAATAAGCCCAGCTCTGAGTAGAAACGAGTGGGTGCCACGTACAGTATTTGGGAGGTTATCAGATCTCATCCTGTTTTCCTCAATACTTTGGGGTGGCTAAAGAACAGCTGGATTTAAGTCGCTGTAGTCAGAGAGCTGGCCTAACTTCTTGAGGACTTCAGTGAGACTATATCACAGCGTTGGGGGTGCCACGTACAGTATTTGGGAGGTTATCAGATCTCATCCTGTTTTCCTCAATACTTTGGGGTGGCTAAAGAACAGCTGGATTTAAGTCGCTGTAGTCAGAGAGCTGGCCTAACTTCTTGAGGACTTCAGTGAGACTATATCACAGCGTTGGTGTAGAGGTCCAGCGTGGAATAAAAATTGCAGGGAGCACGTTGCAGAGGTGCCTGAGGTGGCTGTATGAGCAGTATGGCCACATCTGCCCCACTGTGGTGGAGCTGATAAAGCTTCAGGGCCGGGAGAAGCGTTGTTGACATGTCTGCAGCTTGACTTGTCAAAACAGCCTTGCTCCTTTCTGCTAAAGCTCTGCAGAAAGCAATGAGAGAATCCCAAGGCTCAGAAAGACCCTAAGTAAAAGAGGTTGCAAAACACTGCAATTTGATGGGTGGGTAACTTCTCTGTGAAGTATGGAACATGGGCTTCTGCTTTTGGTGCAGGATAATAATATTCTTCCAGTGACCCTTAATTCAAAATGTGAGTGCAATTCCCAGAACATGAATCTGAACAAAATTATTTTTGCTCTCCAACAGAGGTAGTGTCCTGTTCTCAGTTTCTGGTTCTGCTCTTAAATTACCTTTTTTCCTTGCAATAGCAGAAGTTGAAAAAAACTCATTGTTTTTCCCTTCACAAAAGCACAGTTTGAGTAAAAGCAGTGGATATTTCTCTGTCTTAATCATTTTTATGGCTAACACATGAACTTGAGATGTGAGTTGCTCATACTCCTAGGCAGTGATGCCTTTATTTTTTCCATCAGGACAAATGTGGTTTTCCCCACTTTTTCTGGGACTTTTTTTTGTAACAATCTTATCTAAGCAATTCAGTATTTGAAAGAAAATAAGAGAGACACAGGTGTTTTTTGAAAATAAGATATGTGAGTGCTGTAAAAGTTGATATGCTGATAACTTATTTTAGATCCTTGTGTGTTCCTAATGGGAAGGGAGCCAACAAACTAATTACAAACTAGTCCTTTACTGATCCAGAAGTGAAGAATTTTTTTACCTTATACAGACAGCAAATAAACCAAAATTATACTTCCAAGGGGCTGAAAGAGGGAGGAAGCTAATGAAATGAGGCTTTCTTTATGTGAACCGCACAATTATCACCTTGTAATTTCCCCTGAAACAGAAATTCGGAGATTTTATACACACATCTTACGTGTATTTTGGATAAATGAACAGAACACAATTAGATTTTTCTGCTTGCCAGTCTAGTGACTTGTGATATGAATGTAAATAGCACAAATTCCAAAGTTCTTTTTGTAAAAATTTAACTTTATCCTTTCCTTTTGCTCTGTCAACTTGTGTGATTTGGGAATGGGGAGAAGGCAGGAATCAAAATGAAAAATTATAGCAAGGGACTTTCTATTAGCGGCTTCCCTCTCTCTGTTCACCCTGTTTGCAGAATAAGTTAGATTAGAGGAAAGTATAAACTTCATGTTATCTTTTTTTTAAACAGTTTTAGAAAGAAAGGGCTTTTTTTAGGTGACCTTTCTGTGAATCAGTTTCTGCATGTGGGAATGTACATTAGTACAGGGCATTAACCTTGAGACTGATAACCCTGAAATATCTGGAGATTTCATTCTTCACAAGCAAGAATTTAATTCTCATTAGTTACTTGTATTACTGTGTTTCAGAACACTAGTGGTACCCTAGAACAACATTATGGAAAAGAATGGTCTGCCTTTCCAGATTGATGTAATTATTTTTTCCTCCCAAAGCTGAGCTAAAGCTCATATCTTTGAGGAAATCAAAAAGCCAATTACCAAAGTGTCAAGATTACCATGTAATCTCCAGTTTTGAATGCAAGGAAAGAAAACTATTTCAACTAAAATAATCAGATGTGACCAGGAAAGAAATGCCTGGAGGTACAATTACATGGCCCAGTGATGACGGTGGGAAAACTTGTACTGGGGTTATGATCTGTGTAGACTGACTTTATCAAGAGAACCTAAGAAGTTGTGTGAACAATATGCATTTATCATAGACCTCAAGAAAAGGATACCTGAACCACAGGCATATTTCTAGATAAGTTGAATACAGTTCCAAATTTCTGGCATATTTCAGTGATGAAGACAGCACAAAAACCTTTTATGAAATATGCCTTGGACCAATTGGGCATCCAATCATATCTCCATATATGTAAATATGCATGTTATTGACTGTAAAACCTGTTCAAGATACGTTTGGAATTTTACTGGGAGAAAAGTTTTAGCTGTTTCCCGCATGAAGAAATAGTGCACCAGTCTTGCAATGTAGAATAAAGTTGGAAGTAATTATAAGAGATTCAGTAAAACAGATTATTTTCATTGAGGGGGAAAAAAATTCCATTTGGGAGTTGCTAACACTGTTTTCTTAATTTTCTTGTTTTCCCTTCTTAAGGGAAGTTTTCCCTAACGGATGAGAGAAAAATTATCTTTGCATAACTATGGGAAGTTTTCCCTAGCAGATGAGAGAAAAATTATCTTTGCATAACTATTAAGTGAAAAAGACTGGTAACTAGTGTCCTTCTTGCTGTGGTGGAATTGCTTGGTAGTTCTTAAAAGAAAAGCAAATCAAAACAAAGGAAGTGTACCTGCTAATCAGACTAATGAAAAATGCCAATACGTAGTACAAATATTAGGAAATAATCTCTATATTCCATATAACCATATATTCTGATGGTTAGTAATGATTTTTTGCTGGTCAAAGTATAGGAGTAGGCGTCAGACATGACTGAGAAAACCCATCCAGTTCAACAGATTTGTGAAACAGATGCTGAAATATCTTCTGTAAATATATACTGAATTAAATAATGATTAAAACCCAGTATATATCAGCCGCGCTCAGTACCCCACATGTTTGACTAGCTGAGATAATTGTATTTTAGTATAACTGAATGTATTTTTATGAGTGAACTTCAATATCTGTCTTTAATAGCGAGTTCACTGTTCTACCCATCAGCTCATTTTAAGTAAGTTAAACCTGCACAACCTTTCTTTGGGTAATTCAGGTGTTGTGTTTGCCAGCTCTTTAAACACTTGATATACTTCAGAGGGTTTTGGGTCTGCTTCTGCTTTCTTTCTGTTTACAGTAGGAATAATTCCTAAGAATTACATTCTGATGCCAACACATGTTCAAAGCTCCCATTTAAGTGAATAGAAGTTGTCTGTACAAAGAATAGATTTACATAACCTATGAAGCTTTGAATAATCCCCTTGTTATAAAAAGAAGTAAACAAACCAGAAAGTCAATATTATTTCTAGGAATAATTCACTGACACACAAGTTTTCAGCCAAACTTGTATAAGTAATCCTTTTCTCTTTCCTACCTGCTGCTGAAAAGAGGTTCCAGGTAATGCTTTTATTTTGCTATCTAGTCCATATTTTATTGTCACCTCTCATTTTCCTTAAAAAGCCATCTGTCATGTTGGGTGCTATACCAGGCACCTATCACTCTTCAGAATATTGCTGTATTACAAATTTTAAATTTACATATATATTCATTGTAGTGCTGTTCCATACAATAAGCCAGGCATTTATTTACCTACCAATATAAAAGTAACTACATGGACCATTAAACTTCCCTATGTTTTACTAATAGTATTTTTCAATACTATTTATTAAAATACAGAGATTAGCACTCTCTCCAGTCCCTAGTAGAAAGCTGTCCACCTCCAAAATGGGTTGTTTTATGTTTGATGGGACAGTCTCATCTGACATGTCAGGGTGTATGCATCGCTAAATTATTTAAGTATTAGATTACCTGTGTCTATATTAGTGCATACAAAATGGCACATAATACTCATAGGACATCTGAAAATAATTATGACTAATCATTGTCAAGAAGCAGTATTTAAAAACTACCAGGTTTTATTGTCTTCTAATGGAAATCAGATCTCCAAAGTTTCACAAGTGATACTGAAAATCTTACCAAGAGTAAATTGAAAGACCTCCTCCTTACTTTTAAAATTAATTCTTTACTTCATGCTTGCCAGGACCTTTTGGGGAGGGCAGTGAGAGTCACTTCACATTGAAGCCTCAAAGTTAAGTTCAAAAAAATCAATTGTTAAATTCTCTGCAAGCTCCCCAAAATATGAGAAGCACCTGGGGTGACTCTCACAGGAAGGGACTTTTTCTTTTGTACCCACAACTGTAATTTGCTCTATGAAATCACACCTGAAGTAACATTTGGATTTTTAAACCAGAAATAAGTGTTGTAATTGGCATTGCCATAAATTACCATGGCACCCAAAGAATTGATGGCAGTTTATATAAACCACAGAAGACCATTTCTGTTGATAGCTTTAGAAACTCGGTACCAATAATAAAAGTAGGGAGTGAAATACAACAGTGTCATACAAGACCACATGGGTAGCAGCATCAGACCATGAAAAAGGGATTCTTTGTTTCACAAACTACTTCAAACTGCTTGTATTCCATTTTTATTATCTCATAACAAGAAATATTGAAATATATATTCTGATTCTATTTTCATGTGAAAAATAACATGTCAGTTTAAAGTATTTATTTCCCCTATGATAGATGGCTGGAATTTTCCTTCCATATGTTCAATCTCACCCCATCCATATGCACATCCACCCCAAAATGTTACTCAAGCTCTCCTTCCCATCTTTTGCACACAGTTTTTGAGCATGCAGCCAGTTACACATGGAGGTGTGTGGCCTCTGTGTGTTTTATGTGCCATTAGTCACTGCCCTGCGCATGAAATAGCAGATGAAAAATATCTTCAGCTTTTGCACCTTTAAAAAAAACCCACTTGGAATATGTGTTCTGGTGTCCTTCAACATTCCTGCTTTTAAGTGCACAAGTTGTCATCCTGAAACTTAATTGGGGAAAAAAACACTTACATGCTTGCAATTTGCATTCCAGTTCCACTGCTCTGAATCAATATAGAGTTAATCTTTCATAGACGAGTACCTGTATAAATTGTTCAGGTGGCTTGTGAGATAACATAGCTAAGTATAAATTGTCAAGTTCTATTGACCAATGGACATTCACTTTATTCTTTTGTATGGTATTAATAATTAATACCATGATATGGTAATAACTTATTTATTAATATTTTGGGAAGTCATTGTGACCATTTCAAAAAAAGCGATTGGAAAAAGCAGTTGTTCTTTATGAGAGAAGAAGGATTCTTAGGGTAAATTTGGCTCAGGTGTTTGGGGAAGCTGTCTGATATCCCCACGCCAGCCCAGCAAATTTTAATTGGACCTGGACTGTATTAGTTTCTCGCTGTCTCTTCATTTATTTGAATGAATAAGGGCAGGTTTTTATTCTCTGTATCACTGAGGTGCTTTCAGAAAGCCCATTCCCCACACAGGATCTGTGCCTTTCAGCTTTTGCTCATGTATTGCAGTAGTTTTACTTGATTGGATTTGATTTGAGTGGCACAGAGTGAAAAGAAGGCTTCTGTGGCACTGGGAGATACCTGCTACTTCTTGATCAGTGTGTTTGTAATTGAAATTGCTCATCTACTGTGGGGTTGGGGAACAAATATGGCCAAAGATTTTTTTTCCTCTGCAAAACTTTAGATGACCTCTCTCCATATGTATTAACTATTATCAACATTGTGACCTATTGGGAGTTTTTTCTGTTGATAATTTAGAAACTTCTAAATACAAATGTAGTATCTTTATTTTTTAAGATTAAAAAGTGAGATTTTTAATCATACTTAATGATACTGTTTTTGTAATATGACAGACTAGATAAGAGGATTCTAGGAGTCAGTGGTGATAGGACAGAACAGAAGAAAGGACCTGGAAAATAGCTGTGGAGACTAGGAATTTTGCATCAGGTATAAGACCCAGAAAGAGCTGGTTGAGAGACAGTAGTGATTTAAGAATGGTCATGAAATTGGATGTTGAGATTGCTGACAGAAATCAGATGTATTCCTGGCTTCCCATACTGGCCAACATAGTGTACTGATGTGGGCCGCACAGACCATCCTTGGTTTGCTTTTCCTTCTTTTTTCCCAAAGTGAGGAGAATTCCACCTTCCCAGACCAAAGGACAGAACACTAATGGCTGTGAGCTAAGCCCAGGCTGTAACTGAAAAAGAAATTCAAATGCTTTCCTTTTCTGTCTTGAGGAATACCTGAATAACTTGTAACTGAAGAGCTGAGAGCAAGAAGACCTTTAGTGCGTGTCCACATTGGACTCCTTTTCTGACCTGCATTGCTATATATGGTAGATGTTCCCAGTTTTTGCCTTTACTGCCAGTTTATTAGAAATCTCTTTTTCAAGAGTAAGAATTTTGGGGTAGCAAAAACCAAGTGTCAGACTTCGTTGACATTCTTTGTGAAGTTATAAAAATCTTTCTCCATATTTCAATTAGTGTTCTCTGTTTTCATTTGCACTTATTTATGAATGAATACGAAATATGAGCCTTAGTTATTTTCCTTCATGTCTCAAACCTTCTTTTTAATTTTAAATTATTACTTCGTACTTTGATAAGAATTTGTTTACTATAGCCCATATTCCCTTCCTGGGAAAAGACTCATTGTCTTAACTGTCCAGTGTAAAGTAGCAATATTTCTTTTTAGATCTGGATTTGGATTTTCTGTTGTAAAATTTTTACATGTCATAAAATCTAAATTGATGATGCTGAATTAAATATTTCAAGTACCTCCCTCTGGCCCTGTCTAACACAATAGCAAGTTTTAATAAACTTGATCTTGTTTGGGTGATCCAGGCATCTGGCAGACTCCTTCACCAGACAGGAAATTTTCATTATCTGTTTTTCTTCTGTAATTTTTTTTTCCATGGCTACTTTACAGGCTTCTAAGCGTAGAGGAAGTAACTGAAGTATCTCAGAACCCACTTTATAGTTGCAGTATAATTTGCTTTATAATATGTAAAAATCTTTTGATTGATATGACATCAGTCTATAAATCGCACTAAAATTAGGCAGGGAGAATGGAGGAATAAAGCTCAGAAAATGGTATTTTATTTGAATAACTGAAAAAATACTTTGAATGTAGTTCAAAAGATAGAGTGTACCAACAAACTGTAGTCTGTTGCTCTTAGAAAAGACACTGATTATTTTTCATCAAAGTCATCATTCAAGAGGAGAGATGGAATGAAAAGTACTTCATACTAAAAAGGGAACGTGAAAGAGAGCTGACCTGTTGCTTTATATGTGATATTAGTTTGTCACACTGCCTACTGGATTAAATTGCCTGGATTTCACTGAATCTATATGTAGAATTTATTTTTGAAATAATTGTTCCTCTAAAGGGTCAAAGTTACAGATTTGTTTTTCTGGCCACATGTGCTGTACGTATAGAATCACTAACCAATGCTCCTGCAAATTCCTAGAAATAATGGCATAATTTTCATAAGTGAAACTTACTTGTTTGTATGTTCCTTTGTATATGAACAATTAAACATAATCTGGAAGAGATGTTACAGATATTTATCAAATGTACCTAGTTGAGGTTTCCTAATTAATTCTGGGCTATTCAGAACAGTGGAACAGTAAGTTATGCTGATATTAATGCATTTGCATGGTGATGGTTTACTTCCAACTAAGCATTGATCAATAACCTGGCTCTGTTGATGTAAGAATGAATGGGAAGTTGCTCTTGCAGTTAGTTCTTTATGAACTATTACAAAAATAAGAAGAGTTAGGGCCTACTGAAGGCATGTGGGAACAGGAATGATTATCTCAGGTGTTTAGATTGATCAGGTAAGCCTTTAAAGTTTATCCAATAAAAATTGCTAGAAAGAAGATGGAAGTACCTTAAGAATATTATATCAGTGGTCATTCATTGTGAAACAGCTTTTGCATTAACCTCATGGATTGTTGAAGAATTGTTGGAAAACCTAGCATGGTAAACAAAGGTGACTTTATTTTTTTTTCCCCTTTGGCAGAGGTATTTCTTTTAAAGATGAATACAAGTGTCAGTTAAGGAGGACAGGGCTGTAAGTTTTCCGTATGCAGTAGCAGTTGGAAGGTGCTGTGTTAGTATGGAATGGGTGACGGACAGCCTTCTCTTATTCACAGTTCTTTATTTCAGACCACCAGTTAGTAGGGCATTGCCACAGCCGGAGAAACTCCAGACAAATAATGTTGGGAAAAAAAAGAGACCTATAGAGGTAAGAAAAACATTGATGTCCTCTTCCTCTCCTCTTAGGATTTTTTTTTTTCAAGAAATTAACACATCTGTGGACACAGTACATGATTGATTCACTTTAAATATATCAAAGATGGAAATATTGAATAGTGAGTAAATAGAGAGCAAAAAAGGTGGGAGAGAATTTTTTTGTAAATCAAAAAAATCCCAATATTAATTTTTCTTGCAAACAAAACAGAGCACAACTTAATTGTTAGTAACAATAAAACCTTTTAAATGCAGTGCATTGAGAGCATTATGTCCTGCTTAAATAACATAATTCTTATGGTGTATTATCACTAGATACTAACTAAACTAAACATCTTTTACTGCAATTTTTTAAAAAAATTATTTTAAAAGTTTAAAATTCATCATTTTTAGCAGTTATGAGCATGTGTTATGAGCATCTCTGTATATATGTGTGTGTGTATACATACAAATATTCTACAGCATCCACCAAACAGATAATAGGATGAAATGACCGTCTACGAAAAGAATGAGCAGCAAATGTCAGCTGACAGGGAGGGCAGGATCTCAATTTCTGCTGGTTTGAGACATCATTAAACTCCTTTCCATTTACTGCAGAAGGACGTATTTGAAAAATAAAATCCTGGATAGGATTGTAAAGTTCATTGCTTTAAGGTTTTGAGTATTTAATGGACGTAAATATCTTTTTTTAGGACCTGATTTTGGAACTTGTGTTTGGGTACCGAGGCAAGGACTGTAGAAACAACGTGCACTATTTGAATGATGGTGCTGATGTCATATATCATACTGCGTCCGTTGGCATCTTGTATAACGTGGCAACAGGTAGGAGAGAACCCACTCGAGGAAAAATGTTTCTTCACACACATGGGGTTACAGTTTATGAAGTAACTTGGATGCTTTAAATCTTAAAAGAGCGTGTGGAAAAATTATTATTGTTGTTGTTATTGTTATGAAGATTTTATTATTTTGATATTAGCTTCCTGAAATTTGCTTGTTAAAATGATCACAGAAACTAAAACAACTGAACAATGGGATCATTATTGTTGTTTAATGTTTTTTCTAAGACTAAGTTAATTATTTTTTATTTGGTTTACTTTTCAATCCTCCGTGTCACATACATTCATTCCCAATAACCAATTTAGTTTAGGTAACTTAGACCTTTTAAAGAGTAACACAATGCCTTTTGATTCTGTGATATTTAAGCAACTTGATGTAGAAACTTGAGGGAATAGTTCAGAGTTTGAGTCCTATGTGTTAAAATAAAAGTAAAAAATTAGGAGTTTCTGTTTCTTAGTTTTAAGCTCCAAACTGCAACATCACCATAATACACAAAACTAAAATTGTCAAACTTGAAGCATGTCTATGTGTGTATAAATGTTTTAATTAAAGCTGGAGGTTTGGGGTTTCTTTTGTTTTGTTTTTAGGTTCTCAGTCTTTTTACCAGGAACACAACGATGATATTTTGTGCCTCACTGTAAATCAGCACCCCAAGTTTACCAACATAGTGGCAACTGGCCAAGTAGGTATGTTTGTATTTTTGTAAAAAGAAATTAACATAAAGCATGCAATTAGGGCCTTGTGAGTTCACAATAAATCACAGAAAAATTTGATTATGCTATCTCCGTTTGTATGAGTGTTACTCAGTTACCTGTCCTCTTTATATGTTTCTTTGAGTGTAATTTAATAAAGTTGAACAAAAAAACATTGAGGCATTAAGATTAAGCTTATATTTTGTTTGGAGTGTTAGTAAAAAATATTTTATTTTTTTTAGAAATGTTAAGCCCCAAGAAATTGGTTTGGTTTTATTTAACTATCAGCTTGTGTTAGGCCTTCCTAAGAGCCATAGCCCTTCCAAAGGAGTTTTAATTGAGCTACATCTCTACATGGACTAAACCCAGAATTCTTAAAATA